AGTTTGCCTGTGCGCATTTCAGTTGTATAGATCAGACACCCTACTAGTGACCGCCTTTTTACACCTTGATGTGCTAAGGTACTATGTGTTGATCGTGATACTATTTCGCCATGAGTGCAGAGGTGATCGGCTTGCTATGCAAATTGCTACATGCTCAGGAGGTAGTGGGCATTTATGTATGCTCACCAGCTAGGGGCTCTGTTGGATGTTCTCTCCCTAGTATCAGAAAGAAAGTGTTTGGGTGCTGTACCAGAACTTTGGAGAATGCCAGGAGAACACGGTCAAGCCTCTTGGCTTTGTGGATAAGCCCGTTTGACAGGATGAGGTGCGACTCGTCATTGACGCCTATGGTCAGCAGTGCATGTTTGTACTTCTAGCATCCGCGTGAACAAAATGAATCCATTGAGTATCTTTGAGCTTCTTTCAATTGCACGTGGCTTCCCTGAGCACACCAAGGAACCAAACTTTTCTCAACATTAGGGGAATATTTACCTGCTTTGGTCAGAAGCTCCCTCACCTTCAAGCTTTTCTCCAATGCTGCATTGTCCATTCCTTGAAGGGATCTCGAGCGCCGTGCAGGCCTTGGGCCTTCCGGTGCATTAACTCCATGGGGAATGAAAACCACCTTGTGTGGGCTTACACCATATGCAGAGATCAAGCTATGCCAACCATACCTGGCAAACACATAAAATTGGGTAAGGATTCCCTCGAATATAGATCCCCATGTACATTTCACTGCATCAAGATTACAGTTTTGGTGCAGACTTTGCTGCATGATATTGCAACCCAAGTTGTTGAGCATGCCATTGTCAGCAATTTGTGTCACGATTCTAAGTTCAAAGATATGCTTTCAGTGGTTTTTGAGCACACCAATTTTCAATTTCTTACCAGCTCATAACAATCAGGCGCTCAGAATATTCCGACATAGCACGCAGAAGTCCTCTTTCCTCTAGATTTGGAGTGGCTCGCGGTGAATGTACCACAGTGTAAAGCTTTATGGTGGGATCAAGCCAGCGAGCTACATCCACCAACTGCCACATAATGGGGGTCAACCCAAACTCCTACGCATGAATGTTGAATGAAGCAGCTCAGCATAGGGGTACGTGGAAAACTTATGAGAAAAACGCATCCACAGTTTCAACAATAATTGATGTCAACAATTGTATGAAGGAAAAAATTGAACGGGAAATAACATTATGTTTTTGAAGGAAGTAGTCTGGGAAACCTGTTGGATTATGACGTGGCTGTAACCCGCCTTATGGATGAAATGTACCGCCTCGAGCATGATCCCGGACGGCATCTCCTGATAGAGACACACAAAATGACCTGCTTAATGATTGAGCAATCGTGGTTCATAATCAGCGCATATTCTCTCCTTGATTAGGAGGATTGAAAGATGTGTAGGTCTTCATAATGTACCACAACCAGCTGCTCAACGATTGTCAAATCGCACTTTTAGAACAGTGATGGTGGCACAAATGACTCTTGACAGCGGTGCTGATGAAAACCATTTTAGTGGGGAACTTCGTTTGTTGCTAGCTTCCTTGGATACGTATGATATCGAATGTTATCACGTTCAGCACCGCGCATTGATGCGCATCACTGCAATTACGATAGCACACCCTTAATTCTCAACCTTACAAAGAGATTACCGGTTCCGAGCAGCCCGGCGATATCTTCATATAGCAAGGTCAACGGCAGTTGTGTTGCAACCCAGAAGGTCAGGCCACAAGCACCATAGCCCCTTGATATATAGACGATATTCCACTTCAACGTAGTGTTTCCAGGACCATGCAAGATTTCACTGTGACACTTACCGAATCAACGCGCAGGTCGTATTTGACAATGGGGTCGGTGTAGACGAGGCGATCTGACGGATCCGACAGTGCAATAACTTCAATCTCGCAAGAGGGTGGCAACACAAGGTGTCCACGTAGTTGCGCGAGCAGCGCCGCAGTGAATGTTGCCAAGCCACAATTCTTAGGAGGGTATGTGCTCAACACTGCAACCTTGCATGTCCCCTACATTGGGCAATAGAAAGATCTCAAGACAGCTTACCTTCATTTCAAGCAAAGAAGGCTATAAGATAACCAAAAGGCCCCTCTTCAGCCGCACTTAAGGCGCAAAGATGGGTCCTAGGTCGATTGGCTATAGATCCGCTGCACAGCTGATCAATTGATGTGCACATAAATAGCCTCACAAGGGCTGCTATTGTAAACGGACAAATCTGTTGTTAAATACAATGTATTCTGCATGTCTTGGCCATCGCTTTTTGTCTGTGATGAAAGTCACAAGGCAGCACTGAAAAACGAAATTGTGCACCTATAGTGACAAGAAATGTTCCATGTATGATATTCAATCCACGAATGCTTACTTTGCTCGGACCATATGGAAAGAAAGGTTTGGGGTCTCTTACCACAGGGTCTCTTACCTCCATGCTGCCCGTCCAGGATTTGCCGCCCACACGTGGTATGTCACAAGACGCAGATTCGCCCTGCCTGCTCCTCAATGATGTTGAAAATTCAGCTGCCGCAGGCGAAATTCCACAGCAAAAAAATACTGCGCACTGGCGACATTCGTGTGCAATTGACTGTCAGGTGCCAGGGTCGAGCTCACTCACAATATATTTATTCATTTATCACTGTGGTCAATTACCTGAGGCATGCATTTAGCCGTCCTTGACCAGACAACACATGATGGCAACTGGAGTCAACATATTCTTGACACGAGGTTCTGAGATCTTCCTCATAGGCCCAATCCTCAGCCATGGGCACCTCAAGGCGCTTGATCATGTACTCACACGCTCTTGCCCAATCCGTATCTGGTATCTACATTAATAAAAAGGACTGGATTGACTGCCGCCTTGAGATCATCCTTCCATGTATTATATTGTGGAAAGCGTCGCTTCTTAATACATTTGCAAGCAGAAAGGTAACGCATGGCTAGCGTGTGCCTATTGTGAGATAATCAAAAAAGCGACATGAGAATGACGATTAACGACCACCTTCGTATCAGAGAAGCAGTAAATATGAATTTCAGCAGCGAAACTCTCCCGTTGTAGGCGCCATTCTTGGAATGACTCAAGTTCACGCTTGCAAGCGTTCGACCTTTCTGCTTCTGCCCTACATAGAACGATACTAGATTATCAAAATTCTTTGGGACTCCTTCGAAGAGCAGCATGCATACCAATCTGCCGAAGTCGTTGCATCTGCATCTTACTATCCTTGTAGTTTCACAAAGGTCAATAGGAGACAAAGGAGCAACACAATAAAACACTCTTTCACGCTACTACCTTCTCACCTGAATTGACCGAGGCAGTATGTCCTGTTGGTGAGCAATGTTTGGCACTCGTGTGGATCCAATTTCTGGCCACACATGTAACGAAGGGACTGAGAATGGAGGCCCCAGCCAGCGTCCAGAAGAGCCTCGGGTATTCGAGAGAAGGATGAGAATTCCCTCAAGCCGTTGTCCCTGAACATTAGACGAGGTCATGTCCTCTTGCATTCCAAAGTTGACATGCTCGAAAAGAATTTACGGGTTCATGTTAGAAGCTATATTCTTGCCTTACTGTGTCATTGATGCACCGGGCGCTATTTTGAAGAACGAGAACGAGTAATGCAACAATGACCCAGAATCTGTCTTGCAGGCCAGCTCTTCCAGTCTCCATATGATTTCGAGTATGTGACACCTGCCCGGTAGGAGCTCTTCAATGCCTTACTTTAATCCAAAATATATACCGTGTGCGATGCAGAGGTATATCTGGTGTTCGAAAAGATATCGCGACTTATGCACTCCACGACGTCTTGGTCCAACCTCGCAGTCTTTAAATACAGGTTCTTGATTGAAGAGCTTGCACAGTGTACAGTACACCCCAGTGTTCGTCACTTGCGGAATATCGGCAACTTCTTCACGTGCATCTTGGTGCCTGCTTGGTTAGTAATTGAACATGAAAGCGGATGTTGGCCCATTTGACAGGATGTCCTATGTATGGGCCGGCTAGTCAAGTTGTAATCTCAATGAAAGCATTGTCCCCTTCATAGACATTCCTGCAAGGTTTTTTTCTCCGATTCTGTAATTTTCGAAAATTGCTTAAAGTGAATCCTGATTACTTTGCGAAAGCTTTGCTTTGCAGGTCATTCTGAACTTCAAATGCCGTAAAGCGTGTCAGACTTCTAGGAGTTAAGTGATATCACGTCAGTGATTGCGGTGCTTGTCGCTCGAGGTGGGCATCCTTTCGTTGTCTGCCACTATATCACTTGCTACGTCTTATCTACGTCCTATATATTCTAATCTTAAACTACACAATATTCGGTTTCTATTCTATATTGCAGACATAAGCCCACTCATACCGGAGGTCGATTGTCTTACAGGAGGAGGGGAATCATGCACATAGAACTGAAATCTCTTCATCATCGCATCACATGGGCTGGGGAAAATCCGGGCAGCTTCTGTAGCTTTGCTTGGGCTAATAGTATCCTACATCTTTCCCTCTGACTGTTACGGGAACGATGCCTCGACAGCGTTTACACACTTCACACTGCAGTCAGACCACTGATAGTAATAGAAGTCAAGGATATGTGATTCAATCAAGTCTTGTGGTTTCCCTAGTGGGTAATGCACTTTTGTGCTTATTGCTTATCTACGTCTCCACAACACTATCCTTGCCCGCAAGGAAAGCACTGAGGTAGTCATTTGCCTGGTGCCTTGTCAAGCTGCACGCTACATGCTCGACATTACGTCTTGATCTACTTTGAGCAAAAAAAAGAATTGCATTGATCGTAGGAATGCATCGGCATCAATAAGCAGTACAGAAGTTTTGTTGACAAGGCTCACCAAAGTCGCACAGGTGAATATAAATCCCATTTCCAGAACTCACCAAGGCACAATTCAACCTATCGTAGCTAGGTCTACACAGCCTAATTGTTTGAGATACTGCACAAGCCCCCTTTGCTTGTTCTATAAGACAAATGTTAACCTTCTTTCCAGCAAACTTTGAATCAATGAATGCGACTGTAACCACGGACTGTATTGCTTTGCTCCAGTTGTTGTCACCTTCCCTTCACTATAATATTTGCAGGAACCTTGGAATGTTCTTGCAGGTGACGGGGACACATCTGGCAAGCGCCACCGTGCGTCTAAATCGTGGCACTGATGTTGCTCTCAACTTGCAGAACAGTATCGGTCAGCATCGAAATGCAATTAGGAAACTTGATGCTAATGCAAAAATAGGCGTACAAGGTCTTGAGGAATGCCAGCAACTTTTGCAAAAAAGAAGATTGGGCAAGGCATGGCTTACTGTGGGGATACCGACCGTTCCGCGGCAAAATGAGGCAGACTATCTGAGCAAAACACTTGAAAGCATATTGGAAGAGCTTCCACTCGATACAAGTGATCCACTATACGAGAATATAATAGTGGTTGTGATGAATAACCAGATTGGCAACCACAGCGTCTTCTACGAGGTAACCTCTCAGCATCATTAATGCGATATTGCTATACAAATCTTTGCCGCACATATGGCCGCATTACAGCAAAGCAATGTCACGATGCAAATCTTGTGTGTGCATCTATGGATACACGTCACCCTGTGTTGCGTACATATTGAAGGATAGGGAGACTTCAAATGATCCAATTTTCAAAATAGTTTAACACCAGGAGATCAAAGGCCATGATCACACAGGTGCAAGGGCGCATTGATACGGGACCAGCAGATGATGTGTTTGTGGCTAAGGCACGCGTTTATGTGAGAATGCTTGAAAATACTGGCCTGTTGCCTGATCCAGCGCCAGACACAGAGGATCCTAACGACCTTGATAACCCTACCGATCGCCCTGGGAGGTGTGACGACACTGCCAGCATTATGTGCCAAATCCTGCCGGGCAGTACCCTTCTTAATGACTTCATTTGCTTCTTGAAGTGGTACTTCTGTCAATAGAAGTATGCCATTCGTTGATGCGCCAATCTGCGCTGTGCAACCTCACTGAGTCAGGTGGCTCCAACATCTTGATGGCAACCTACAAATGTATGACTGATTTCTGGAGATATTCTGTTCTGGGTAGGCAGGTGCGGAAGCAAACATGCGACCTTGTCAGCCTCATGGAAACCTCCGCACCCTTGTCACATTACTATCTCTTCATGGAAGATGACTTCAGGTACTCGTTGTGGTTGACAAGGCAATTACCAAGTCTATCAGAAAGTCTAAGGCTAAAGATTCAATGGAAGAGCAAGAGGGTGTATTTTGTTTTTGCAGATGTGCACCTAAGGTTGAGGTTGTGCATGCAATAATACGTCATTGTGAGAGTTCCACAAATTTGTATCTCAACCCCTCTCTTCGATCACACCGGGTAGATATTCGACGCTTTAGCCGCATCTTCAGTGGACATTGCGTCTGGACGTGATATGCACTTTTCGACTAACCATTTTAGATGAAGTTTACAAGCAGATGATTGTGATTTCCCCGTGTAAAGTAGGGCACTTGAGGGTTTGGCAAGTCCAACAAGTAGTAGGATTGTGGCAGCCTTAAACTACAGCTTCTACAAGACGTGCCTTGCTTTTTGGCAGGCAAAGCGTGTAGAATTAATAATATAAAATAAGGCACACTCTGGAATTTGGAGCTTGCACGAGATTCTAGCCAAATTTATGTGTATAACTTGGGTAGGGTACAACTTTGCACATAAACTTCTGAACAAGACATATGTGGAGGGTCTAGATATCTCACATGATACCACGAAGATAGAGCGTGGCAATGACCTATGCTCAGCGCATGCGAACGTTTTGTTGGTTTCATGCTTATCGCAAGTGTCTTACGACAATTCTATTCTATACTGCAGGATGTGTCCCAATGCGATGCGCATCATGCAGTATGTGGTGGCAAAGCTTAATGCGGCGCGGGAAACAGAAGAGTGGCTGAGTGTTCGGTTGAGTTATGGCATGAATGGGATCCTTCTGCCCACTGTGCACTTGCACAGCTTCGCAGAACACTTACGGCACGCGCGCCTCCTTAACATGAATGTGAATGCATTTAAATTCGTAACATCACTTTCGTTCAGTTCAGTTCACTTCATTTCATTCCAATCCATTCATCTTTATTTTGTCACACCATGACCACTTTTTTCTTTGTCGGGGCACTGGCCTCACGGTGTGCAATATGCATAATCTTTTGACACCTAGCAAGCATAACAAAGCTCTGGAAGTGAGGGACTTTGTAAACAATTGGATTTATGATTGGAATTTGACAGATTCATTTCGGCCAAAATGTTATAAATCTATCTACTCGTGCTTCCCAAAATGCGACGGCTCTTGAGGAATCCATATGGAATAGGATTTCAGCATCGCAGGTTGATCTGTATTGGGTCCACATGGCCAGTCAATTAAGGAAGTCTCAGGCAACCTCATCTCCTTCTACTAACAATGTGTCCTTGCTATGCAGCGTCCACACAGCATGGCTACCACCGGACTTGTTGTATGGGGAGTGGCTGAAACAAGAAAGCCAAAAAAAGGCAGTTGATAGCACTAATAGAACCACTTCTGGGAAACATCAATATGTCTACCATAAAAATCTGCTTGACCACCTTGGCACATACTCCTCATTTGCAGTCCGACCTGATCGCCTGCCATTTCCTGGCTGTTTTCATGCCATGTCGGACATCTGGTCGTTGCCAAATACAGAGCGTTATCAGGTAAATCTTGTCCTGAAAAACACCCTATATTATATGGTATTGACGATCCTAATTCACCCTTTACGTACCCAAATGCCGATGGCCGGCAAGTCGATGATCGACACTTGTGGCACATTGCGTGATATCATCGATCAGGTGGTGGCGACACAAATGTTATCAGCCATTTTGATTTCGGCTTTGGAATCCTGAGCATCATCTTAGGATATGGATGAACCATTCACTAGTGCTAATGTTCTACACGTTTAAAAGAAAGTGTTGTCAATACTGACTTGGTTGAATTGGAAGTATTGCAAACAAGGAAAACAATTCTAACATAGAGCTGGTCTGCAGGCCGGAGCATGCCCCAAAAGTGATTTGTCACCATGTCCTGTGATATCGGGAAGTGTAGCATGGATTTGAAATCCAATTTCCTTGCCTGAAAGCGTCGATGACACAGAAAAATTCCACGAGCCCAATCAAAATTGAACCACGACCGTTGATATTCAACATCTTAATCCTAATCTTAAACATTTATTTAAAAACTCTTGTCAAAATCAGGTTACTGAGATTTGCTACTGTCCTTACATCTTATGTCCCATACTTGCTGATTTCGACTTTCACAACTTGCGGCAAGTTGATCCTTCATACATATGCATATGCCATGATCAGTGATCATCGTAGGTGATACTGTATGTTGGTATTGAGCTAATTCAGCTCAATACGAGTTTGGTTTAAACGTTACATTTGAAATTGTTCGGCACCAAACAATTTGAATCTTTGGTTATTGACAGTACTGTTTAGGGTTTAGGGTTATTGTTATCTCGGCATTGGGTAAAACCATTGCAGCGGGCCCTCCCAGGCGTCGATGTTGTATAGTGGTTAGTACACCACGTTGTGGCCGTGGAGACCAGGGCTCGATTCCCTGCTTCGACAACTTTTGTGTATGCCCTATGGCCTCTGGCTTTGGGTTTGCCAACTTGTAATAATAATAACTGTTTAACTAGTTTGACTTGAAACAGTATCACTTGAGTGGAGCATTTGAAAGTTCAACGGTTGTGGATTCTGCGATCTAGATCTGCTATCGACGACATCATGCCACGCAGTAATTCATTAGAAAGTGATCAAATGCAATTTTCTTCCATATTAAAATTTAGGGTTCCAAGGCGATTTTAGAATGGCTATACCGTACTGGTCACTGTAATGATTGTTTTTTAGCTTGCAAACAAAAATATGATCTTTTTGTCGTGCGGGAAAGCCCTGCGGGAAATCTATTCATATCTCGAAATTTCCAAAGTGCGGGGTTCAGAATGACCAGTACGTTGTAGGAGGGCAAGGGAATCATTCCCTTGCCCTCCTACAACGCATGATGCTGCGCTCTGATTGGTCGACGTAATATATCATGGCTGCCCAGCACTAAAACGCCGGCAGGACAAAGTTTGGGGGGGTTTCTGTCATAGTATCTGATTAGGAGGTTTATCTCATGAGGTTTTCAATCCAGTTTTGACTCAGACAGAAACACAAGGCCTGGTGTTCTTGATGTACCTGGAATAATCCGAGTGATTTTGCACTGCAGAAATGGCATTCACTGTGAGTTCCATTTGACGCTCAGTACACCAAAGCCTTACACTGTGATCTTCCTTCTGCTCGATACTCATCCCCCCCGATACCTCAGTTTCCCCCTCCGGTGGCCCTTGTGGGGTTAATTAACTCTCTGCTTATAAGCAGAGAGCTCTTAGAATTGTCTTGCCTGCAAGTTGCATCTCATACAGCATTCATTCTGGGTCAGAGTACTTGGGTATCAATGGCGTCGCTATAGTTATCCCCATAATATAACACTGTATAGCTTTGGGAGCCCCGGCTGGCGGGGGGCGGTATAAATACTGAGCACCGTGCCCACGGTTGATTGGGTCCTGCTTGGATCTGGCGAGTCCATCAAGGGGTAGGATTTTGGCAGCCTTTACCGGTGACCGCAGTGACTGCACTGCAGTCACTTCGGTCTGAATACAAGCTGGCAGCTTGTATGCAGACGCACCTTGCTTCTGGGAGGAAAAGCGTGTAATAATATTAATAATCATAGCTTTGGGACTGGCCTGCAGCTAATATCTGGCTGCACTGGAGAAGTATACTCCATTGCGCCATGTATGGGAATTTCTGGTGGACAGCTATTCCAAGTGCTGGTCTCATGATCATTTGGAGACAACATTCAGTGCATGCAGCTCTAGTTATAGAGATTCTCTACAAATTTTAATTTGCGGCACCAAACAGAAAATCGCCAGCCTAACAAAGTCTTGCACTTCATCTAGTGCCTGAAAGGGGCCGTCCTATGGAGCAGCTCAGCTGTGCCATTTCCGTTCTTGTTGCGCCATTGTTTGACTGCACATGACCATCAGGATCCTTGCCATGCAACAAGTAGGCCATTGTGTACGAGCAGCCTATCTGCTACTAGCAGGAGTTCAAAAGGACAGATTGTCTCACAGTAGTCTTTCATATGTTTGACTTTTATCAATGTGCCAGTATCCATATGGTTATTACCCTGGGCATGGACCAATACATAGCGGGCAAGACACAAAGACTCTTCTCGGAGGAATCCCATGACGCACAGACTGAGAAGGGCCAGCTAGCAACCTGCAGCTGGGCAGCTTAACTCACGAAGCCACATGCGGCATTAAAACCTTGAATGTTAGAATTTGGCGTTGCCTTCATGGTGTTGGACGTCCCGCCGGGAACATCCTGAGGCAAGATGTACTACATGTAGTACATATGATGCACAAACTTTATGATGCACATGTAATTTGAGGACTTTGTCAAATTAACTTTCCAAATGGATCGCTAGATGACCCTCGTGTCAATTGGCAGCTTAAATTGTAATTACAAGCAAGGCTTGTAGAGCACCAAGGTACAACGTTTTTATCTATTCAATACTTAGACAGTACCTCAATAGCTAATATACTATACGATACCGTAGTGGCAGTGCCGTAAACCGGTACTATTCTTATGACCATGTTGCAGCTTAGCAAACCCAAAGCGAAAGGCCATGCTGTGTCTGGTACTACCTAGTAGGGCATACAAACAGGGCGTCTACAGCCACATCTGCGGGGCCTACAAAAGTCTGCAGCCTAGTTCCCTACGCTTCTGACAATATCTCAGGACAAACCCTCACCGAGGGCATGCACTCCCTGTACCTAAAACCTAAGAACAACGCCAAGCAGCAGACGTCCAGGATCTTTTTATTCGCATTGCATGCAGCGGCGATTGAAGGGCGCAATGCACTCACACGTTGTGTCCAGTACTCTGTACACTGGGGCACACACTAAATAGCACACACATATATGGCACATTGCATCCTCTGGCCGACAAGCTTGAAAATTTCCACACATAAATTATGGATCTTCTTCTCTAAGAGACCCAGCATGTGATACTACAGTTTGTCATATGATGTGAATATCTGGTTCCATATTGGGCAGCTCAGCCTTCAATGTCCTGGCCAAATACGGCCAGTACAAGCATTATTGTGGCAGATGCCCCAATATCTCTGCATTGGAGCTTGTACGTTTTGATTTGTGAAAAGAACTTACATTGCAATCAGCTCGGCGCACATTCTGGGCACATGGTGTCACAGTGTGCGGCATGCGCCTTGCATGAAGCCTGCCAGGGCCTCAGTGAGCCTCCTACACACCCTGCGATCCTCAACGGTGGACCAGTAGTTGAGGGCATCACTCATGGAAAAGCTCTTCAAATCCCCTGTTTGTGACGGATTGCGTGTCCGACACGCAAGAGTCTTTGCCTCGTTTTTCTCCCGCCACAGTGGCGGATTGGGGGTTGGGCAGGATTTTTTTTGCCCGCCACAAGTGGCGGGCAGGTGGGACGGTCCATTTTTTTTTCGGCCAATCGTGGCGACCTTCAGTGATTTTGCAATACGCCACAAAGTACCTCAATTTTTTTTGCAATCCGCCAATTGGCAGGTTCCGGCCACAAATCGAAACAGTGTCACTGTCATTGACTCCAGATGACTCATCTGGTCACCTAAGGCCAGAGGTACATTCTGTCCAGACCCTCAAAATTTCTGCCGCGCACCCTGGTCTGGGGGAACTGGCAGGATTTACGACCAACGAAATAGCGAGCAAACATTTTAGGTTTTCCGTGGACTCCTGAAGAGCGCGGTAAAACGAACGAAATTGACAGGCCCAGGCCGGGGCTGTGCATGTATTACCGTCTGTGTTTTGGCAGCCTGAGAAATCCCAGGCAGTGCTCCTGCGACTGGGAAATCACACTCTTCGCTCTCGATTCTGGGAAATCTCGAGCGCTATCGTGCCTGGGAAATCCCGAGTTCACACTGATGCTAGGATATCCCGGAAGATGCCGACGCTGAGGTTTACCGGGATTACATGTAATCAGGGATCCCCAGTCGTGGGGAACACCCCAGCTTTTCCCAGATACGACCGTGCCTTGAGTTACGTCTGTTCCTGAGGAAACACGGGTCACTGTGCATACTGCATACTGGGTTCTGTAGTAACCTCTTACACTCTCCTTACTCTCCTTATACAAGTAGCACAGCAGAAATCAGGACAATGCAAAAGGTTCATTGACAGGGCAGCAAGTTCCCGGCACCTGCCGGCATGTGCCGCACACGTGTCAAACAGATAGTATCCTAGGCTAGGAATTTCCTAGCTGAGAGAACTGCCCATGTGTCCAGCCGAAGTAAGTCTGTGCGTAGGAGAAGAGCCCCCAGTGACTGCGACACCATCACAACCCCTATTCCCATTCCAAGCAGCAACATCTATAACCCAACGTATGAAGGTTTCTTGCGACACTCGTTCAGTGAACGACGTTCACAACTTTAAGCAGCCTTGCAACATTTCGAGGCTTTCAATATGCGCAAGCAGACGTTTCGGATGAAACCGTGGAACATGGGATCCTGTTCTGCCGGGAGATTTTATAAATTATTAACTGCCGAGGATCCCAGTTCAGCCAATCATAGCGCAGCATTCTGGTTGCCCTCCGTATATAGCCATTTTAATCATCTTAATTTACAGTCCCCTGCCTTCGGATGAGACAAATGATGACATAATCGTCAACTAAATGACATAATCGTCAAAGCGCATGCCTATCTGAAACTTGCTCTGACACGAAGCACAAACGCTTAGACGCTCAGACCACCTTGGTTGTAAGAGCGCTATTATGGGAGGCACCTGTCACAGTGTAGCCTTGCCATGGCTCAATATTGCAAAGATTCTGAGGAAAAGATGACATTATTTCGGCTTCAGTTCGGGAGCATGCCCCAGTTCATGCATATGCTACTAATGATTGCCACCCCAAGCCAAGACCAGGAAAACTGAAGCATTGCTAATCAGCTGGCTGCAAGGCGAGTTGCTGCTCAAAGTAATGTCCCGAACTTCTGGCTGATGGCTAGGTCCACTATTTAGAAGCCGCCGCCTGCGCTCGCTTATTTGCTGGAACCGCTGTATGATGAACTGCAGCAAATGAAGGGAATGCTTGAGACAGTAAGTTGGCGCGTGTGAAACTCAACATATGCTGTTGTGAGCACTGTGGGCACCAGAGGGCCTCCACATACACATGTGGCAAAGCTCAGGAGCTAAGAAAATAAGGTTACTTTCATACCTGAGTTGTTTCTATGAACCGCTTTGCACAGTCGCTGAGACAAGCCTCCTCTCTGCTGCCCAAAGAGCGACCTGGTGTGCCAACGCATTTGTCCCAGCATGTGTCTGTCAATCGTGCGACTGTCTGCTGCATCTGAGCCTTTGCTTGCTCATTGAGTAAGAACTGCTGCAACTCGGGTGAGATTTTCTCCTCAGTACCGCTCATCGTCTTGTCAGATCACTTTTTGCTTAAAGACCTTCCCCCGAAAATAAAATTATACGGTGCGTTCGTCGGCTTCTCTGAGTGGATACCAAATGATTTGCGTGAATGATCGTCTAGATCTGTGATGCCGATGTTCACAACAACAATGCACCTAGCCGAAGCAGCTCCAGCGAAGAAGCTGCGGCTCCCCCGCAGGTCCTCCCGCTCTAGCTACTCATTCTTCCGAGGAAACTGGCCCTGCTTCTTTTCTCTTTCAGTTCTCCGTATGCATCAGAGGTGAAAGTAGGGATCCAACCATGGACATCATCTCCATTGAAGGAACCGTCGAAGGCAATGAAGGCGCACCACTTCCGTCAGACGACAAGAGCGGTCCGCTTGCTATTTATAGTTCATTCTGCTTCCTGGTGTATCCAATTGTATTCAGCTACAAATCATCTGCTAGTCATACTAAATCGAGCGATCTCATCTCTGCCGTTGGAATGATACGTAGATGAAGACGGCTTTGGAGCTGTAATCCCCACGCTCGGCATCTCTGCCGAGGAAGTGACGGATGAGCAAATCGATGAGATTGCCGAAGGTGTAGCCGCCGATAATAGTCAAGCTGAAATCGAGAAATATGTCTTCGAGGCTCCCGAAATATTGGAGGCTTATGCAGGCCCTGCGGACGGCGAGACAGCTGCGGGTAGGCACTCTGTGCCTCACACCACATCCATGGTGTGAGGCGTTTGCTTCACCATTTTGCTTCACCATTTGCTTCACATGTTCGTGAGTTGTCCTCCAGTCTCGATATTTATATACATATTTGGCCTGTAGACCACCCTCATCAAGACGCAAGACAGCATCTTCTGCGTCTTAAGAGCGCCAGGCATCTTGGACGTGTCTATCTCTTCAAGAACAGCAATTGGACCTGATGCACCTGCTGTTCCCCGCAGAATCACCCCTTACAGGAGAGGTGCAAGATGTTCTCACTTCCCAAGGAGACCCACAAGCATCAGAAGTGGCAGTCACAGATACGCTTGAGCACACAACGGCGGTGGTGCAACCTGACACCGTCGCCATCAAGGAGACATCTCCTGAGGATGCATCTTTGGATGCTGCAACCGCGGTCGTCTCAGAAGAGCTCCCAGTGAAGGAGTACCTGGATGCAACAGTGGTGCCAGCCCTCAGGGTTGGGCTGCGCATTCTGGCCAAGCAAAGGTGCGCCAGACCACCCATAAAGGTTGCCAATTGAGCAACAAATTGGCCTTTTTGGGGCTTGCTTTGCTGCAGGAGTGAGCTGATGCACATCAGGGGTGACAGTGTTCATATATGAGATTATGTGGATGCTGAATGGCCTCTGCGCTCTGTGATTTGCGCAGGCCACCGAGTTATAACGGGAACTATCATTGCCTTCTATCTCCCATGTACTGAGGGCTGCAAGACGTGATGATTTTTATCTTTGAAGAGAACACGAAATATCACACGATGATGCGCCTTCAGTTCTCTTACGGGGAATGCGAAAGCTCCTCGCGTAGAATGCCGAAATTTGTTGCTGCTAGTGTGTCCGGCGTTCGCATGCTGCGGATTCTTCTCCTAGTTTTATGGATCCTGGAATCCTTGAGCACAGCAAAATCTAATTTCATCCACCACGAGCCAGGCGGGTTACATACCCTCGAGCGTTTCTCAACCTGCTTGTGTCTTCACAAAACGTGATTGCATTGATTTTAGTGCCTTGATGCTGAGAAAGAAATCGCAGGTGGTGGGGAACCATCTAGCAGGCACATCTCGGAGGCACAAGCCGTCCACGCGTTACAGCGTATAACGGCGACGTTTGAGGCCCGAACGGGCGCAACTAGTGTGCCTCATTGGTGTAATCTTACAGTGTATGGGTCCGGATATGGCAAGCATCAAATCTGCAACGTGGCTCATTTTATAAAGCCAGACGGCGCCTGTATTTTCTGGTCTTTTAGCATCAATTACGATGCATCCTTTGATACAGACTTGATATCAAGACACAACTGTTATGGTTTGGGATTGGATCCCTCTGTCTCCTACCAATCCAACTTCTTAGGGGCCAACGCAGTCTTTTTGCAGGTGGGTGCTAGGCTCAAAGAATCGCCACCCTTCGTACCCAAACCTGGTGTTTGGTTTCTAGCAAGCGTTCCCCTCCTCGCAAAGGCGTTGTCCATCGAAAAAGTTGCAAGTGCTCAAAATGGACTGTGAAGGATGTGAATACGGCCTGGCCGATGACATTCTCAAGCATGACGAGAGTTTTGTCCATAAGGTGGACCAATTTGCAATCGAGGTGCATACCAGTAAGATTATTGCCCAAACAAAAGATCATGCAACTGCATTGGGGCGCTTATACCAACTCTTGGAGGATGCTGGAATGGTGCTTGTTGATTTTGATTTAAGTTCTTGTGGTGGTAAGCATAATATCGCTGGACAACAAGAGGAATTCACCGCTGTCGGATATCCCAACACAAATGAGCAAAATTGTCAAAATCTGCTTTTTGCAAGGCAGTCAGTTGTGAACTGGCATCATTGAAAATGATGTAGAGAGTGCAAAGGACCGTCCAAAGTCCATTAAGCTATAAATCTATAGATTGAGGGGGAAGCTGCTGTGTAACGGCTTAAGCAGACTGCAAACGGCAAAGGCCGCCGATGCAAGATCGTCACTATTAGTCTACTACGCTTGCATGGGGGCAGCGCCCATTACGAAGTATGTACTTCATAATTTTGTATCGCCAAACTTGGCCTTTTTGAAGAAGTGGTGCCTCAGCTGTTTGTTCATCGAGTAATATCTGAAACCTAGATGATATAGGTGATATTGATGATATCACGCTTGTTCTGCCACAGGCAAGGCTTGTCTGCACTGCAGACAAGCTACAGATACACTGTATAAACTGTATAAGATATACTGAATAATTTATTTATTGTTGGTTGAACCTGGCTGAAAGTTGCCACATTGTACATATACCCCTTGGTGGACATGCCATGATTTGAGGGAACCACAAGACCTTAGGGTTTTACTATTGTTGCCACTCCCTCCCATTCTTCCCATTCCTGCCATTCCTCCCATTGCTGCCACTGCTGCCATTAATGCCATTCCTGCCATTCCTCCCATTTCTCCCACTGCTGCCATTCCTGCCATTCCTCCCATTGCTGCCACTGCTGCCATTCCTTCCATTGCTGCCATTCCTGCCATTAATCCCATTCCTCCCATTTCTCCCACTGCTGCCACTGCTGCCATTCCTGCCATTCCTGCCATTCCTCCCATTGCTGCCACTGCCGCCATTCCTCCCATTTCTCCCATTCCCCCCACAGCTCCCATTCCTGCCATTCCTGCCATTCCTCCCATTTCTCCCACTGCTGCCATTCCTGCCATTCCTCCCATTGCTGCCACTGCTGCCATTCCTGCCATTCCTCCCATTCCTCCCACTTCTGCCATTCCTCCCATTTCTCCCATTCCCCCCACTGCTCCCATTCCTGCCATTCCTGCCATTCCTCCCATTTCTCCCACTGCTGCCATTCCTGCCATTCCTCCCATTCCTCCCATTGCTGCCACTGCCGCCATTCCTCCCATTTCTCCCATTCCCCCCACAGCTCCCATTCCTGCCATTCCTGCCATTCCTCCCATTCCTCCCATTTCTCCCACTGCTGCCATTCCTGCCATTCCTCCCATTGCTGCCACTGCCGCCATTCCTGCCATTCCTCCCATTTCTCCCACTGCTGCCATTCCTGCCATTCCTCCCATTGCTGCCATTCCTGCCATTCCTCCCATTCCTGCCATTCCTGCCACTGCTGCCATTGCTGCCATTCCTCCCATTCCTGCCATTTCTCCCACTGCTGCCATTCTTGCCATTCCTCCCACTTCTGCCATTCCTCCCATTCCTCCCATTGCTGCCACTGCCGCCATTCCTCCCATTTCTCCCATTCCCCCCACAGCTCCCATTCCTGCCATTCCTGCCATTCCTCCCATTCCTCCCATTTCTCCCACTGCTGCCATTCCTGCCATTCCTCCCATTGCTGCCACTGCTGCCATTCCTGCCATTCCTCCCATTCCTCCCACTTCTGCCATTCCAGCCATTCCTCCCATTTCTCCCATTCCCCCCACTGCTCCCATTCCTGCCATTCCTGCCATTCCTCCCATTTCTCCCACTGCTGCCATTCCTGCCATTGCTGCCATTTCTCCCATTCCTGCCATTCCTGCCATTCCTCCCATTCCTCACATTGCTGCCACTGCCGCCATTCCTCCCATTTCTCCCATTCCCCCCACAGCTCCCATTCCTGCCATTCCTGCCATTCCTCCCATTCCTCCCATTTCTCCCACTGCTGCCATTCCTGCCATTCCTCCCATTGCTGCCACTGCTGCCATTCCTGCCATTGCTGCCATTTCTCCCATTGCTGCCACTGCTGCCATTAATGCCATTAATGCCATTCCTGCCATTCCTCCCATTTCTCCCATTGCTGCCACTGCCGCCATTCCTGCCATTCCTCCCATTTCTCCCACTGCTGCCATTCCTGCCATTCCTCCCACTGCTGCCATTCTTGCCATTCCTCCCACTGCTGCCATTCCTGCCATTCCTCCCACTGCTGCCATTCCTGCCATTCCTGCCATTGCTGCCATTTCTCCCATTCCTGCCATTCCTGCCATTCCTCCCATTTCTCCCATTTCTGCCATTCCTCCCACTGCTGCCATTCCTCCCATTTCTCCTATTGCTGCCACTCCTCCGATTCCTGCCATTCCTGCCACTGCTGCCACTGCTGCCATTCCTGCCATTCCTGCCATTCCTCCCATTTCTACCACTGCTGCCATTCCTGCCATTCCTCCCATTTCTCCCATTGTTCCCATTGCTGCCATTCCTCCCACTGCTGCCACTGCCGTTGTTGCTGCCATTCTTCGGAAGGGCAGATCCACCCCCTTCTCCAAAGCTTAAACACAAGGTTCATAAGGGTTCGCTCCCTCGTCCCAATACCCGGATGCAGCATGCAGAGATAAAACATTGTGAAGATAGCTGCTTCAACATGTCAGGCTAAGCAAGAATGCATTCTTGTGTGGCAAACACTGACGAGCTCGTACAATTTTTTTTTTCCGAAGTTGAGTTGCAAGGGTCCACCAAGAGTGAATGAGAAGGCTCCATGCATCGCAAGTGAAACAGAGGAGGTGTTTTACAAGACTGAGCACTTACATCAGAACACCACATGCCCAGCGTACATTTGAGCAACCTTTGTACTCCAGGATGGAAAGGCAGGCAAGTGATCATTTGCGGCGCTTAAAAGCACCCAAAGCGCCCCTATTGAACAGGAATTTGAAGGCAGGCGATGACGCTGCTGCGCCAGGAGCGCTGTTGTACCCGTTGGCGCGTCCCCGCTCCTGCCGCGGCGGCTTTATAAAATATTGATGGTGGGGGTGCCGTGCGCGTCCCGGGGCGCGGCCAGGCGGCAGCGGCGCGCTCCTGCCGCGGCGGCTTAATAAAATATTGAGGGTGGGGTTGCCGTGCGCGTCCCGGGGCGCGGCCAGGCGGCAGCGGCGCGCTCCTGCCGCGGCGGCTTAATAAAATATTGAGGGTGGGGTTGCCGTGCGCGTCCCGGGGCGCGGCCAGGCGGCAGCGGTGCGCTCCCGCCGCGGCGGCTTAATAAAATATTGAGGGTGGAGTTGCCGTGCGCGTCCCGGGGCCCTGGGTTGCGCCCCGGAGGAATGGGAGGAATGGCAGGAATGGCAGCAGTGGGAGAAATGGGAGCAGTGGGAGAAATGGGAGGAATGGGAGGAATGGCAGCAATGGCAGCAGTGGGAGGAGTGGCAGCAATGGCAGCAATGGCAACAGTGGGAGGAGTGGCAGCAATGGCAGCGATGGGAGGAATGGCAGGAATGGCAGGAATGGCATTAATGGCAGCAGTGGCGGCAATGGGAGGAAAGGGAGAATGGGAGGAATGGCAGGAATGGCAGCAGTGGCAGCAATGGGAGGAATGGCAAGATTGGGAGGAGTGGCAGCAATGGGAGGAATGGGAGGAATGGGAGCAGTGGCAGCAGTGGCAGCAATGGGAGGAATGGCAGGAATGGGAGGAATGGCAGCAGTGGCAGCAATGGGAGGAATGGGAGAAATGGGAGGGATGGCAGCAGTGGGAGGAATGGGAGAGGTTAGAAGGTTGCTCATGCCTAATTAGTAACAATGGGAACAATGAATGGGAGTAGCACAATGCCAAACCCTAAGGGTCTTGTCGCACTATGCATGATTTCGGGAAACCCCAATGAATTTAATTTAATTGGGTCCGACCCAATGAGTCACCCGGTGAATCGGGCATTCGCACGTTGGCATTGCCCATCATGGGTTGGCATGGTGGTCTACTTTTACCATCCCACGCCAACACGTGCGTAGATGGTATACATCAAGTAGATCGGGCCGGCGGCCGGCCAGCGGTTGCAAATAATCAGGGGAAACGGCATACTTGTACAAGGGAACATATACCCGACATCGAGCATTGTTATGTGAGAGATATTAGGTTCATCACTGATTCCAAAGGTATCGATCGTGCAATCCCTCTGGACCCTAAGGCTTCACGTGACCTCTAAGAGGGGCACATGGTACATGATAACGTATGACAACAAATTTGACGAATCTTACTCAACTCGCGTCTCACGGGTCTTTCCGAGTACACATCATAGTGACTATCTAGATGGTACAACTTGTTTAACTGACTCCAAACTTTAATCACTTCTTTTTAGGACTTGCACGGGGCGATTTCTCTGTGATAGCTTATAAATTAGCTAGCTTTAAGGATTACTTGTACTACCTATAGAAACTGTTGTGAATGCAACATTTTGATGTACCTGTCATTAAGTACGATTCCGGTCTAATTGATCCCAACATGTTCATCCCAGACAGTTCTCATCATCATGCATGCCAGCAGTGCTTGAAACGGAAAATCTTAGCTGCCGAGAACGGTTCGCAAGGCCACAGAGTGCCGCCGAGCGAAAGCCTTGACAGGCTCTTATAATCTGAGTTGGTGCATATATAATTTTCCTTCGAGAGAGGAATAAGACTTTTTTTCTTTTACAGAGGTTCGCTTGGTGCTTGCCGGACAAACACGTGCTCACGCACTTTGCAAGACACTTCTTTCCCCGACCCAATCCTGGTGGGAGTGCGTGAAAGAGATATCCTCGTGACACAGAGAATGTTGGCAGATAGAAGCAGAACGTGATAGCCAATGCGATTTATTCACTTCTTGCTTTTGGCAACAATTTGTGGCATCGCTGTTTTCAGGTGATCAGTATTGTACCAAGCCCTTGCTATTCAATGTCTTTCTTTGGTAGGTGCAATTTTGCGTAAAATTTTATTATTCTCTTGCGCCCATAGCCTTGGCCCCCCAAATATCCCAGGCAGTTATACGCCTTTTAACATTTCCGATCCTTCGTGACCCATACGTGAAATTTGAGGCCGAACTGACATGTCTTCTTGCAGTGGCATCAGGAATTCTACAGGACACCTCCGTTTGCAATCGTCTACGTATCAAAAAGCTAGCACTGTCGTACTGTATCGCTATGCTTTGTTCAGAAAGGAGCATCTACAGAACTTGGAATTATTTTTTGAAAAGGGAATGGGAGGTGTCCAGGTGGATTATTTTTTCATTGCGATCAAGGTATAGCCACAATGCTATCTGAAATTCATCTTGAGACGTGTGATGATTGGTAGATGAACTCCCCTACGAATGTCATACGTTGCCGCACTGGAAAGAGATCGGGCGGAGAAAAGTTATGTGTCAACAATCGATGTCTCGTAGTGTGTACCTCGTCCCTTTCAAGTTTCTGTACTTATTTTACAGGGGCCAGGGGACGGTGAAAATGAAGTCCATCGCTTGCCCAGCAACCTTGTAGGTTTTTTACACAAGGAAAGGTGTTCCGGTTGGGTGTCTTTAGTGAATTTCTTATTGAAGCGGCATGCGCGCTTTGCACAATATCAAAAATATATTTTCCTTGATGCCTCGCTTCGTGGCCCTGTCTTGCCTCAATATTTGCCGGTAAAACTCTGTGCCTTTGTGGTAAATAGTCTGTCCACTTGTTGCCTGGCCTAATTTGCTTTATCACTTTTCTCACGCCCCCATGCTGTTGTTGAAAATGTTGTTAATCTACTTGCCGATCCTAATTACGGTTTGCAGGACAATTTGCATTGGACATCCATTTACTCAGAAAAATTAAAGGACAACATTCAAATGGTTGGGGACACTTTAAGCTGCAATCGTTTGGACCCTGGATTTTGGGTGAAGACCAAAAACCAGAAGCATCCCTTGGTGGATGGCCGAATGTTCGCTGTGACCAAGGTTAGCTCTGCCTGAATGATCTCCTACAAAGAAAAGAAGGGACTGAAATTTCTGTATGTCAGGCCTCTATGTCAAAATATACGGCGGCCAAAGAATTGTACCTTCTCTGCAGGCTGGGTTGCAAGCAATTATGAGAAATAATGAGATTCGTGAGTGCTGTGATACTTGTGATACTATGGAAGCCAGCTTGCATCAGTTTGAGGAATTGGCGTCTTTGGCTATAGCTGAGGCGGGCTATGAAGTTGCCTTTCTTACAGTGACATCAAAGGTTACCAGCGCAAGCTGGATGGCGGAAGCACGGCGGCTTTGTGATAGGTAATTGAGCCCTGCTCAACATGAATGTAATGTGCAACATATGTTATCTCGCTGCTCGCTTTCCTACATCCAGTTGATGCTTGAAGACCCAGCACCGTTATTATGCAATTCTCCACATTCTGCCGATTCTCTGTTATTCAAACATCAGGGGTTTCTTAGATTGTTTCTTGGAGCCGAGGTGTAACAAAATCATGTCATCAATAATTGCATGAAATGTCAGGGTCAACGTCGGTGGAGGGGAAGGTATCGGCATTTTCTCAATATGGAACTTTATAGATCGCCAAATCCAAAGGACGCCCATCACTTCCACCGCAAGTGAGGTGCATCGCATTTCCTTTTTCATTTTGGTTGTTTTGGGCGTGCGCAACAATCACTACGTTGTTATCGATTTTGAAACGTAATATCACCACACCCTTGTACAAAGCCTGAGCCGGCAAATGTTTTCTATATTAATGTTCACACCGAGTGGCAACCCTTCCTTCCTTCTTGGCTCCCGCATTGCTTTGTATGTCTTGCATTCTATGTGATTCATTGGTTTTTAGCTTTGACTTTGCTACAACAGACTTAGTCTTCTTATCTAGAGACTGAGCAAGGATGCTGAAGTAACGAATGGCATTGATTATGGACACTTGTAGTTGATGCAGGAAGAGCAAGACTCAATAGGACAACCATGGAATTTCAGAGATCAACCAGCAATGACACAAAGCATTAATACCGGTCAAATGCATTCTTCTGAAGAAGCCAGAGGGCCACTTGAGACGGTGTCTGTGATTCCTTCAGAACACCAACACAGATATGGGTTTCCGGCAACAAGGGCAACGAAAGTGCTTGTGTCATATTCTTACTATCAAAAAGACAAAGTCCAACTGGAGAACTTCCAGTTCTTCACAAGGGTTGCAATGGGTGGAAGTCACCATTTTATACGTCCTCACGATACTGATACTTTCATTGTAGTGAACACAAGGAAGTGTTCGCCCTGCCGATCGCTGCTCACAAAGGCCCAGGAGTACAACAAAGAAGTCTTGAAAACTGTTTCGAAAGCTTGGATGGGGGATGGTTTCACGCTGCTTTTGCGGAAGCAGAATATTGGAATGGATTTTGCGGCACACAACGTGCGAACGCACTTGTTGATGACTTGTGGTGGTAGACATCTGTTGAAAATTGAACCAGGATTGAACCAACCATATGTAGCTCTTGATTTTAAATGGATTTTTTTACATGCAGGTGACCATTGAATGGTGCCGCCAGTTAGATATCATAAAGCAATACAAATACTTTATTTTTTTGAATAGCTCTGTAAGAGGACCATTTTATCCTTCCTACTTGCCGCCGTCATGGCAGTGGACGCAAGTCTTCACGGACAGGATTGATGAGAATGTCAAACTGGTTGGGTCATCGTTGGTTTGTTTGCCTCCGACAGATCTAGGAGGCCCGGGACCAAGGGTAACGATTGACAACCCGTGCTTCTGTTACAAACATGCACTACGTTGCCAAAACATTATGTGTAGCTGCAAAATAAGTTGATGCTCATGTTGGTCAACATATATTCGTTGCAATCCGGCTGTATTATCACAGTTCCGCTGGTATCCTTTGCAATCTGAGGAACCTTTGCATTGTACAGACAATCGTACGAAATTACTCTACATCGCATATTTTGCAAATGCAATCGGTTTCTGTGCGTGTAGGTGGAGTCTTGGGCCTTCGGTGTGGATAGAATAGGCCTGAAGACCGTGTTGGACGAGGGTGTCTTCCATGTTCGTAAGTGCAAGCTCTGTAGTGACGGTATTGTAGTCAAGGGGGAGTACGGCCTTTCCACCGCCATCTTCAATGCTGGGTACAACATTGCAACCATCATGTCGATGTGCGCTCCCCCATAAGCTTCACTCCAAATCTGACACTTTGTTGTCAAAAAGCATTAAAGTTAAGACTTTACTTGCAGTCGCTACCCTAGTTGAACGTTTTTTGAACCTTCCAAATTCAATTACTTTGTAGTAAGTTACTGTGACATCGTACAAACATAGGTCTCCATGATTATTGTCTTAGGTTATTGTCAGCTGAAATTTTTGCAAGAAAGGACTATCATCGTTCCTGTTTGGGCAAGGAAAAGTGCAGCATTAGTCAGGTGCCTAAGAACCTGAAGAACAACATCACTGTTTGGGCCATTGCTCATCACGCCCCTTCAGGCTCACGTGCCTCACATGATGACAGCGCATTAGGTGCAATCATTGGTCCGAGTCATCGTTGTTTACTTACAAACAAATTACTGTATTTTGTTTCCGGTGGGCGATCCAGACATGCATCATTGTCTTCTGCAGGTATCCTGTCGGGATTAATTGGAGGAAAAGGGTTCATTGGAAGTGCAACAACAATACGCATCCATCTCGTCATGGGACATACGATAATATCTCTATGCATCCATTTGAGACTGTTTTTGTAAAGGCCAGCTGGAAAGTCGGTGAACCTCACCTATCTGCCTACACACGGTACCCTTACCTCTTTGCAGTGTGGAATCCTTGTCTTCGCAATTTGTGTATATTACATGTTGATGTCTGACCATGTGACATAATTTGTACGGCATGAGCAGAATCACGCCATTGAATATTCATGGAACTCTTAAAAGTTATATTTGGTGCACCAGGTGGTTTTTAGCACATTCAAATGGACACGCCAATACACAAGGGTTGTATGCTGACAAAATGTATAGATATGCAACAAGTCAACTTGCACAAGAGATTGATATTGATGCCGATTTGTTCAAGGTGGATTCCTTCAGTTAGTGCAGGTTTTGCTTGTTGTTGACATCAGCCTGAGTGTGACACAGTGAGGCAGCTAATGTCGTGAGTCGCCATGGCATTATCTGTGCTGCTGTGGGGCAATTTGCAGGGGCAGGTGCAACCGATCTGTGTTTTGTTGCAGCCTGTAATAAATCTAATTGAAAATTGAATCAGATTCGTTGGGTGATTTGCAAGCCTAGAAGAAGGTGGATCCAAAATCTTCACGACCCTAGTCTGAAGAACTTAAAGGCTTAGGATATTGGCCTAAATAGCTTATAAGCTCCTTCCTAGAAGTCCAAACTCCGAGAAGATTACATACAAAAGGTACGGTACTAGATACACAACTGCTACCCCTTGTTAGAGCTACCCCAGTGGTGAATGATTGCGGATCAGATGAACTTTTTATTGAACATCTTTTGTGTTTGATTGCCCCGATATGTGACAATTAGGAAAAAATTCTTAGCTATTTAGTTTTGCACCACTTTCAGCCAGTCATGCATTTTTGAGGCAAACCTGTACTGATATCAAGCCAATTTTTTGACGGAACACAGTTTAGAAAGTTTTGATATGAAGATGGGCAGTGACAGACTCCCTACAAGACCAATTAGCCTCAGGGGGGTAAAGACACACAAAACTAGTGGCTGCCACAAGGTCTCAATAATGTAATAATGATATATTACCACACTACGTAATTACTGCATTAGTACCATTTAATAGTCCCCAAGGGCCCTTCGAGGGATGCACAAAATAATTAGGGGCTAGGGGCAGCCTGCGGAATTAAGGGCAAACCCTAAGTTGAGAACAACTGAGATCTGGCCATTACAACGCCCCGAAGGCAGCCTGCTCTGAGAGGCCTGTGAGTAGAGACTGTGCCTCAGGGGTACACGACGTCATGCGCGGTGCTCCCACACTCCTTCGGCAATTTGAGCCACGAGGCCGAATACAAGGGAAACATGCATCCGATGAGAGTCTCCCTGATAAAACATCTTATAAATCTTAGGGATGCCCCGAATTTTTAGCCAACTACCGCGGCAGCGGCCTTTTCCCGCCTGTTCTTGCCTTATTCAGGGATCAAAGCAACACTCGAGGGCCCCAAACTTTTCTTGTAACACGTTCGTGGTACGCCGCCAATAATATACTTTTGTCATCGAGAGATCTCAGCAGACGCAATTGCAAAGAACCAGAGAAGTCAAATGACCCTTTCTTCCTAAAAATTTTTGCTGCTTTTACTTTCCCAGATGGTCAAAGTCTTCATCTAGATCCGACAGATTGTAGGCAAACTCTGCGCTGATTTATTTTGCGTGTATTTGACTGAGCCTCTGGCGTTGGAAGATCATCTGGATGGAACAGTTGTTGCGGTGGCAGCTGTGCAACTTCGTTATGGTTGGTGGGCATTCTTTGGGTAAAGAAAAGTATACTTGTAGGTGAAAGGTTCGGCATAGGCATAGGTTCTTAAGCAGACTAAGTAAGACTCCCAATTACATGCACATGTCCAAACCAAGGTACTTGAAGTACAGCCTGAGGCCGCCTGCCGGCAGTATATCTGAAATATTTTGAAGCACGTTCGTCTCTGTTTTGGGGCCCTGAGAAACAATGCGGAATCGCCGCAACCATGGAATCACGGCTTTGCTCCACGTAGCCGGTGAATCTTGGGACGTCCTGGCCTACGGTTCCATGGGAACCGCACACTTGGGTATCGCCAGGATTTCCCACGACAGTCAGCTTTCCCATGATTTTCCATGACGGTGGATCGTGTGAAATCATGGTTTAAAGCGCAGAAATAAGACAAATAGCGCTAGAAATGGGCAGGGCAAGACGGCAACGTGACGGCAGCCTGTCGCACGAACGACGATGTCTCGAGAAAAAGTGCAAAAAAAAAAACGCAGTGCACATCACGGGATCAAACCTGAGACCTTTAAAATAGCAACTAGAGGACAAGCTTTTACATCTACAATCACATGTTGGCAGTGTTGCTTTCTTCCTGTATATAACCGCACGATCCGGCCCCGTTTTGGACGTTCCAGACCTCGCAGCCACTGCGGAATACATCGCGTGGCCATCATAATCATCTACATACATTTAAGAACCCTTAGAATGAGCTCTCGTGTCGGGTGCAGCCTTTTGATTACATTCGCGGCAAGCTTTACTTTACGGCAGAAGATACGAACGGGCTGGGCCACTGTTGTGCGCTGCTATAGCAGGTCATCGTGGCTATGATAGTGCAAGAGACTGTGCAAAACAGATCGCAGAGCTTAGACACTGCCTACCGCTGTGCAGTAGCGCTAAAGGAGAAAACAGTAACACTCGTGAGGGATACCATGATATTCAGCCATGGCTTTTCATGTGTGAAGCAGCTTCATGCATGGAGATACCCTAGGTTGAAGTTTTCATGGGATTTTCTCAAGAATTGAATCTCCCAAGATTTCAAATGAAGTCGCATCCCATTAATGCTCAGTTGAGACCTGCAATCAGTGATTGCAGGAGTTCATGGGAAATTATGGGCTGGATGTCCCCGGCGCCCCATGGTCAGGCCCCTGACTCAGGGGGCTCAGATGGGAATTTCCATGGTGCCAGAACATCATGAAATGATGTGATGTGTAAATCATTGGTCTGACACGGCGTCCCAAAACAGAGACGGTTCAGGCCTATGTAACAATTGCGTTGAGAAGATTAGGTGTTTTCACTATTATTAAACCAGCAAGTGGTTTTATTAGAAATGCTGAGAATGTCTCAAAGATATGTTCGGCTCAACTTGAACTTCCGCATCATACGGCGGGTGCGTGCAGCTCGTCGCATAGGTCTCTGATCTAGATCTGAGGCGGCGGCCCGCCGCCTGGTGTCTCGTTGGAAGGATCTCTTTAAGACTTTTTCAAAGCACCTTTAGTTTGCTAAAAAAGGTGGGCCATTCGCAAAGATACATGTTTCGACAATATCCATTAAGATTCGATGAGTATTGGTTAAGTCATGCTTTTGCAGATACGCTCGGCAAACTGTCTGCCCAGTTTGTCCGAGGATCTAGGTGAAAGGTATTTTAGGGCCAACCTCGTATTCCAACATCAGGTCGGCGTAGTTGAGTCTTTTCATGCTCGCTTTGTCTTGATTTCTCATTAATCCTGATCACAGAATGACCCCTCATTACGTAGGGTATAGATTTTCAGGGGTCACACAGTTTATAGTCCTTGTTTTCGGACGGAGTACCAAGGGTCTAGGGTATTGCCATCCCATCCACTGTTGTAATCCACTTGACCTTAAGGCGCCAACTTGACCTGCTATACACCAATGCACAAGGTAGGAAAGGCAGGATGCAAAGACAGGCCTGGCTCGGTCATTAGCTTTTATTGCTACTCCTGCGACTCCTGTAACCCTAGAACTGTGTTCTAGGGTTCCACTCTTGCCACTGCAGCCACTCCTTCTGATGTTGTCATTCCTCTTCTCCCGCCACTCCCGCCACTCCCTCTACTCTTGCCACGCTTGCCAGTCCTGCCATTCCAGCTACTCTGGCCATTCCTTCCACTCCGACATTCTTCTACTCCTGCAGTTCCTTCCACTCCTTCTACTAGTAGCACTCCTGACATTCCAGCCAAACCTGACACTCCAGCCACTCCAGCCACTCCTTCTACTTCGTCCACTCCAGCCATTCCTGCCACTTCTGACATTCCAGCCACTCTAGCCATTCCCGGAATGGGCCAGCCACCGTTGTCTGCCAGACACAGTGTGGTAGCATTGAGACATACCCTGACTGGTCTTCCATTTGTCATGAAGGTCGTGCTGTGATTGAACTGGAGGCGCAAGTTTATACCATGATGACAGATTGCTAATCTGTTGTTTGGACATGCCTCTCCTGTAAGAGGCTTCATGTTAACACAAGGATCAATTTGGCATAATGTAACATATATATGCATGTCATATTATTCTGAAGAGGCCTAATCTGAGGCGATTGCCTGCTGAGCATGCTCAGAGCTGCGATGTACATTTTGAAGCAACTTAAATTGTATTTAGGGGAAGGCAGGGAAAGGTACCCCGCGTGACAAATTCAATTGCTAAAGTCTCAGCCTTGTGTCCTAAGGTTTGTATACAGCCTGCATCGCCACTGGCCCAGTGGCGATTGGGCAGCGACTTCACAAAGCTTCAACGCGACCGTGGGCGGCGAAGCAGCGGCGAGTGCCACATCGCATTGCAGTGACAAGCCAGTTGGTGACTTGAGTTTTTGGAACTTGCAAGACTTCACTGGCAGTTTCTGGAAGGTTCAAGCAACAAGCTGTGCCAGCTTCGAGCTTGCGTACAAAGTTTGCACCGCAGAGAAACTCTACAGATCTCCCAGTACCACGAGGTGTAGTCGTGGGCAGTGCCCTGTGTGGTTTACATTCAGTCTTCATCATTCCTAAGAATCAAGGTGGACAGAAGAGGTGAAAAGGAGTGGCAGGACTGGCTGGAGTAGCAAGAGTGGCAAGATGGGCGGGAGTAGAAGGAATGTCAGGAGTCAGGAATGGCAGGAGTGGAGGGAATGGCAAACCCTAGCTAGGAGGGTTGGTGCACTGTGTGTTTTCCAGGGGACTCTTAATTTAAGAGTCTTAAAGCAGTTAATTTAGAGTCCCCTGTATTTTTACGGTATTACAGTGTGCAAATTGTCGCCCCATTGCTTCACACAAAACCACATAAATGGTGCCTGCCACTTGCGCTGACCTTGCCATCAGCTCTTCAAAAAGAGCCTTGAACTTGAAAGCATTCACCCAATCCATCCCTATGGCCGAGATATGATCATATCTCATGAACTTTTGAGATGCCTTGACCCCTCTTCTGGTAAAATATTTCTGTCAAGGATTATGGACGTGCGATGCAGCTCTGCATTACTTTCATGCATTATGAATGTAATCAGCGAAAGGAACGACAGAATACGTTCAGTACAAAAGGCTGCTACAAGGCAAAAAGGCGCTTTTCGCATGTTCTTAATAGCTCTCAGGTCATGTGCCTGGTATCACAGAATCGGTGAGTTAAACCTCTGTTTCAGTCAAAATACATATTGCCGCGAACGTCTTGCATTACTGCAATACCTCTAGCGTGTCGTTATGTGGGTTTAACTCATGGCATCACACAAGCATCGGCATCACGGTATCACACGACCTTGCACCCTGCAGGGACCTTAATTTTGTTGCTTCTGCTGATAGACTGTTCCGGGATAGTCGTTAGAGGTAAAGGACATAGCCACAACGCAGAAGTCTACTTGGTACCAGGTATGACTTGTGCACAACAACGCCCACCCCACACAACTAATGAAGTCATTTGTAAATATCTTCCCAAATTGTCTGGAGCGGATGCTGTAGAATTGTATTCCGGAAATGCACCTGGAGTGCAGCTGCCTATAAGTATGTGTTTCCCACGTAGGAGCATATCATGGCCTTTCAAACCAGAGGATGTGCATTGCAAATGCAATTGCTATGGCTTTGAGAAAGCATTGGACACTTGTTCTACCAGAATTACGCTTCAATTATCCAGATGTTCCAAATCTCTACTCTGAACCGTTCGAGTTCTTCTTTGATCTTTCTGCTTTGAAGACACTTTCTTCTTACGGGTATTCACTACTTATGCATAGCAGGTGTGGTCTAATTTCTCAATTATGTGGAACAAGCTTAGCAGTGCCTGTGTGGATGTGTAGGTTGTCAGTTGCCACCTCCCTTCCTATGTCAAAGCACCAAGTTTGCTTGACACAGCTGCAGCATTCCCTAGACCATGCCATCAGTCCCTCCATGCACACTCTGGATGCTTGGGCAGACCGACACGGTGTGGTGTGCTTGCATGACCGCCACACCATCGATAATCCCTGGACAGAACAATACATGAACGATGTCTTGAAACAACAAATACGGAAGGCACTTCGACCATCTTTACAGTTCAGAGTGAGAGTCCGACACACTTTTTTTAATTTCATTGAACGTTTTCGAAATATTGCCAATGATGCTGTCATGGAATCATTGCCAAAGACTAATGTCATAATTGGCCACCACCGTGTCGTAAGGCAAATTATTTCTAGTCATATTTTGTAGGAAGAAATTGAAAATGCACTGTCAAGGTTGAAAGAGATCATGGGTACACTTCATTTTCTCGCTCTTCATGCGAGGATGGAAGACGATTGGAAGAATTATTGCAAGGGTGAGCTATTTCAGGTAATGCCAAAATCGCCTAAAATACTGGACGGAATTGTGTCGCAAGGACATTATAGAATAATTAGTATCATCATGATGCAAGAAGGTCATCAACCAACAGAAACCTTGAGCAGTTGTTGGTGCAACAGTTACTTACATTTTAATGGCATCATAGTGCTTATGTGAAACCTTTGCAGGGAGATCTCTGCTATATTGGAGAAGAAGGCTTGGTATCTTTCTTGCTGGAAGACCTCAAGCTGAAAAACAAGTCAGCTGTGTACATTGCGTCTGGTGGCAAAAAAAGCAACATGACCCTCTTCTGTAAAACATTCCAGTGCTTTACAAAGGACGATGTTTGGCAGCCGACTACATCCCTTATTCCTCATGCGGAGGCATCGCTCGTGAATTCTTATGTCGATTTTCTCATCACCCAACAAGCATATTCCTTTGTTGGCAATAGGCACTCAACATTCTCCATGGAGTTGTACCACATCTTCCGAGACAATGGAAAGATCGCTACGTTCGCGAATGAATTGAAATGCCCACCGGGAAAGAACGTGACGTACCTTGGCTGCAAGCCTGTCAATATCTTAAGCTGCTGTAGCTGAACCGTTGTTAAACATATCTGGCATACAAATGCCGTATGCCAAACCTGCAAGTATACCTGTAAATTATCAAAATCATGTGACATAAATATTTTACAGGTACTGTTGCAGGGTTTTTTTTTGGGTTGGCCACGGCCTACAATTAAAACATGTCCTACTCGTTCCAGGATTCTGAATTCAGCATGTATGCATTCAATGCAAATTGCATGCCCCTTGCTTTCGAGTGAACATTTAGTTTCGACATGGCTCTCCTGCCATGCAGGATAAAGTTGAATGATAAAAAAGTATACCGTAATCAAGTCAAGAAGTAACACCGTTTCGTGCCACAATGTCAATTATTTGGTGATGTCGTAGCTATACTATATACTATTGGCTAGTAGCCAACTGCATGGAAATCTAAGCAAAATCCAATGCTGAGCTAAGGGCAATCCAAATTGCCGCAACAGAAGATGATAGGCATTTGCATGCGCCGCGCAGCTGGTGCTACAAGCAATTAATCCACCTCTCCAACACAATATATACTGCTGGCAGCTCAGCTCAAGGCTTGCCCTTGAACATCCATGCATGCATGCACCCCTGCTCAGGCCCCGGGGGCCACTAACCCCCCAAATATCTCCAGAACATCACGCAGACAGAATGTGTCCTCCTAGTCTACTCATGAAGTTTGGGTTTCTGATTTCCGGTAACTCACTTGGACTTAACTCGGACGTTTTATGTTAACATTGGCATCATGCAGACGCAGGTTTTCACCGTGACTGTGTTCAACTAAGTTTAATGGCGGCGTAGGCGTCATTACAGCAATTGTACAATATGCCAAAGTGAAGCACCAACTTCAACTTCATACAATGGGCGATCCACTGGAGATCATAGGAATGTGATGATTTGACAAAAATATGGTTATGAATGCGCAAATCAGCATCAACATGAACATAATGTTTCATTCAATGAGCCCACCCGAGGTCAGAGCCTAAGTAATTAGTCTTGATCAGGTAAGCGACGTGCGAAGATGAAAAATATCTAATCGTACAATACAAATCAGGTTTTGACAGGGATCCAGGAAAATATTCAGGCCAAAACGGCTTCAAATCTCAAGTTGTGTAGTAGCACAATTGCATGTAAACATTGTACGTTGTATTTGGGCTCCTAGAAGGTTGATGAGTAGGCACGCCATCATACCGGTGCCGGACCGACATTCCCATGAACCATTTTCATCCCAATCGCCATGGCCTCAATCAGTAGATAGTGAAAGTTACATTGGCAAGATTTTAGTAAAGTGACCATATTACACACTGCGTTTCTCAGCAAGTTGCTTGAAACTTTGGGTGACACTTTTTGCGTTATGTAGATGCAGTCCTCTAACCGAGTGCAAATTGTCCTTTTATTCTCAGAGGTGAAGTTTTGTACTACTCGTGTGGATGATCAGACTTCTGCTTGAGAATGATATGATCAGATTTGGAAAAAGTAGAATTCAAACTTGCTGCGGAGGACCGTGTTTGTGTCATTTGTACGCATCACGACCAAAGGGAAAAGCGGGTTTCAGATATGAAGAGTGGTGGCCGATATCAAAGATTGCATAGACAAGTATGTGGACAAAAAGTGGGAGGTAATATGCACCCTCCACGAATTCCCTTTTTATACTGCGATGAAGCAAGCCTTTTTTGAACGTGGGATGGGTGAGGGGAGTCCCGCCGTGGCACCGTCTTCAAACATGTAGATGCACCCATATTACATCTTGCACCGACTTAGACGGTGCTGACGAGCCCCGGGGGTTCTGGAGAATCCGTCCCATCTTTTTCCTTCTTTCAGCTCTTTTCGAGCAGCGTGCGCTGGATGATACAGATGCTGTATTACTTGTGTCTCACTTTCTTCTCTTGCTTTCTCAATATCATCTGAATGGCGTGCTTTTGTTGGCTTGCAGGGACAAGCGTGGTGGCGAGCAGACTATGGTTAATGGTCACGTTGGGTGCAACACTATTGACTGTGGCTCTGACAAGGTCTGCAGCAATGTACAGCGACAGTACAATCGCTGATGCCGCGACGTACCAAGCAAAACTGATAAAGAAGACGTTGTCTTTGCATCCAACCCAACACAGTTTCAACGGATACAGTGGGCCCTGGTTAGAGAACGTGTTTTATGATGCGTGGCTTACGTTGGAGCCTAGGCCTTCACGTATCTACGTTCCAGTAGCATGGACTGATTCCATGCATATCAAAACTCTCAGATTGCACATGCAGCAGGTGATCAATCAGCTGAATCCAATGTTCAAGTACTTCACAGTTATGCAAGCTAGCCTAGGGTTCAATCATCCGCTGTTGAATCTGCATGTGCCCACTGATCTTGACTTCTTAGTCTTTGCCGCGGGGAGTGGTATTCCTCCTCTAAGGGCTGTACCCATTCCACTTTTGAAGGAAGAACTTAAACCGAAAGGGCTTTCTAAATCAATTACCGCGAGCAGTCAGTGCACTACACGAAACCACATCATTAGGAGTGTGTTGCAAAAGTGGTATAGTCCCTCTTACCTGTTCTTAAACCCGAGTGATGACTGGAAGATTATCACAGAGAGCAGTAATCTTTCCTTTTGCCCCAGGGGTTATGGCCCGACATCATTTCGTCTCTATGAGACTCTTCAGCTAGGCACTATCCCAATATATGTCTGGGAAGACGAAAAATGGCTAGCATTTGAGGACAAGGTTGACTGGAACGAGTTTGCAATTGTTGTGGAATTCAAAGACATACAACTGATTCCTAAAAAGATTGCTGAGGCCAATATCACGCGCATGCAAGAGGCGTTGGCCAAGCACCGCCACATGTTTACGTACGAATATACGGTGAAGTACATATTGGAAAGAATCTCCCTTGAAGAGGTACTTGCTCAGCCAGCAAATAATTCTGGGAACGTTGAACTGGAAGGATAAATGGGCTGGCCTGATTAATTTTGAGTAGAGTACTTTGAATCTACGATAATGGCAATGCCAACAAACCCCGGGTTTGGGGCCTTTGTTAAACTTTGGTAGCAAACTTCCTGAGGAACTTCCAATGAATGCAACTGTGTTTTCTGATTATGAGCATGATTATATTTTGTATTATTATACGTATGTTTACTTCCTACGTTTTTACGAAGCAAATATAAGAAGGATAACCTCGGGGTTTTGCAGTCGGATTGGAGGTTAGCATCGTGCGGCACTAGACTTTCAAATGCTACGAAAGTGTCATTTCTCATGACCCAAGACACTCATGAGACGATTGCTCTGAGCAGTCTGACAAGAATCTGATTGAATCCTTTCACAAATTTATCAATTTGTTCACACGGTGTCTGCCTGGATGACATATGCAAGTTGCAATGGATCCACTGATATGGCACATGAAGAACTCATACATGTAAAAATGAGATGGTCTGAGGTAATCTCCAATTTCAAACCATAAGAGCGTTGCAAGTAGTTGGTGGCCTCCAAAATGGCCCTCCTGAGCAGCCGCTGCGGCAGGATTACTATATGTCATGACTGATGCACTCCATGATCATGGTATAAATGATTGTCTTTCTCCCCTTTATATACAAAGAGGACTCCTAGACATTAGAATTTTAAAAAACTATGATGCAATTAGGATGTATATTTGCATTGTAAATACGGTAGGGTTGTGCACACAAAATTTTTTTTTGTGAGGTCGTTGCCAGAAATGCTGGCAAGCGCACATTTCTGTGGCAGGGGAGTTGCAAGGCCTGTAACGGCCATGCCTTTGTGGGAGGTACCATGCTGACTTGACTCATTATGATACAAGCTTGCTCCAACCCTCAGGTTCGGTGCGTTGCAGCAATCTCTGAATAATCCGATTATGGAGTCCCCTTCAAGGAAACTCCAGCCTCCCAGCTGACTATCCTCAGGACAGGCTGTAATACCGTGCTGTTTGCCGTGATTGTGATTGAGTGTTGTCTTTCCTGTGACCTCTCTTGCAGTTGATTGCAGTTGCTTGCTGTGCATGCGTTGATTGTGGCCTTGCCTGTGTTGTGTGAATAAACCTCTGGGTTGCTTCGCAAAGTACCCTCAACGTCACCCAAGGGGTGTTGCATTGCTGACAAATAGGTGTATCGCAGGGGACTCTAAATCAACTATGAACAGTTGATTTAGGGTCCCCTAGGTGTCGGATTATAGAGGGGTACGTAGCCGGTGCAGGGATTGCATGAAGGATTAAAGTTTGACAATTGATGAGTCACTGGTACAACACCTTGGCAGGCTGCAGACTTTTGTAGGCCCCGCAGACGTGGCTGCAGACGCCGCATGTGCATGCTCTATGGCCTTGGTCTTTGGGTTTGCCTGCCTGTAATAATAATACTTACCAGTACGGGCTCCAGTGGCCGTTGTTTTTCAGTATCCGGGGTGGGCTGTATCGGATTGACATTCCTGGATCACTAGAGTCGTTGGGCCATAAGTCAGTCAGGCTCTCTGCAGGACCCTTTTTTATGGCGAGTGCTCTACTCTGGGTGCACGGCTTCTCCGTTAACGTTGCCAGGCACATCAGTTTCGTCATTGAAGACTGTTGCCATTTACGCGTACAACATTTGAGACGATACCCGGTACAGGGGCCCGATGCAGTGCAGGTCTGAGGCTCACAAGTAGTGCATTTCCCGGCTGAATCTAAAGGTCATACTATGATAGCATGACTATCAAAAGTCACGCCATGACTTTTAAAAGTCACAGAGCCCACAGAAAGTCATAGCATGACTATCGAAAGTCACGCCATGACTTTTAAAAGTCACAGAGCCCACAGAAGTCATAGCATGACAATCAAAAGTCACGCCTTGACTTGTAAAAGTCACAGAGCCCACAGAAGTCATAGCGTGACTTTCGATAGTCACGGTGCACCCAAAAGTCATAGCATGACTATCAAAAGTCACGCCATGACTTTTAATAACCAAAGAGCCCACAGAAGTCACGCCAAGACTGTTGAAAGTCACGGTGCACCCAAAAGTCATAGCATGACTATCGAAAGTCACGCCATGACTTCTAAAAGTCAGAAAGCCCACAGAAGTCACGCCATGACTTTTGAAAGTCACGGTGCACTAAAAAGTCATAGCATGACTATGAAAAGTCACGCCATGATTTTTAATAATCAAAGAGCCCGCAGAAGTCACGCCATGACTTTTGAAAGTCACGGTGCACCCAAAGGTTATAGCATGACTATCGAAAGTCACGGTGCACCCAAAAGTCATAGCATGACTATCGAAAGTCACGCCATATTTAGGAATCCTGGGTTTACATTTTTGGAATTGCATGCCAAGCCAAGCCATGCATGTTCTATGGAGGCACACCCCCCTAGCCAAGTTTCATATACACCCCTTTTGAAGGGGTGAATGCATGGCTTCAAGGGGAATTCATCCAACAGCACTTTCGCCTAAGACCCAGTTTCCCATGTTGGCATATGACTTGGCATAACTTGGCATCACTTGGCATGACTTGGCCTTGGGCTGCAAATGACTGCTGCCATGGCCCATACTTGTTGTGTGGGATGTATGAGACCCTTTGTGAGATCTGAGGGCCCTTGGACCCACTGCACAAGCACAGCACATGCTCCAAGTGGGCACAGGATGCAGCCATGCACCTGGCATATGTATACACCATGCTGCACACCAGCACAGGGTGCCGCTTCACTTGGCACCCATGCAGGATCATGTATGGGCCCCATATGAGTCCTCCCAGCCATGCCAAGGGTCTTGGATCCCCTGCACACCTCCAAGGCAACCACATGTGCCTTGCAAGCCACTGCAAACCTTATCTAAATTCACACCCACCTCCATAAATTGTGAGCCACCTCTGGCAACCCATAACATGGCCTTCTGCATGGGACTGTGAAATGAGTCTCCTCACATTTACACCTATGTCATGCAACAGCAATATTATGTGCATGCCTAGGCCCAATGCTAGGGATGCACAACTTGTGCTTGAAGCACTTGAAGTGTCTATAGGTGACCTTCATGGAATCATGCAAGGACATAGAGAGCTCTCAACACCTCCCCAAGGACTATTTTGGAACTTGGAACAATGGGGCATCATCCTCAAATTGGTACAACACACTACAAGGTGCATGCCAAGCAAAAGCCAGATTCTGGCCTAGTTTGGCAGCCTTCCAGAGGGTGCCAAACTTGGCCCTGGGGGTCCACGTGGCATCCAGAGGACCCCCTTGCCTAGGGCTTTCCACCAACCCAACTTGGGCCCAAAACAAGTACTTTTGCATTGTGCAACACATAGTTGAAGTTCTGACAGCAAATGCTAGACTTTGGCAGAATTTGGCTAAGTCAGAAATGGGGTTCCTGTAGCTAGTTCATGCTTGACCCTTTGTATGGAAACTTGGTCCAAGTGACCAAAAGTCCCACATGAGCTAAGCAAGGTAAGATCTACAAGCCAACCCAAGTTGGGCTCAAAACAAAAATGTTTACTATGTGCAGCAGCCTGTTGAAGTCTTGACATGTTCACCTGCCTTGGGCAAGTTTCAGAGTGTCGCTCTCCAGATCATGTCATGACTTGCCCAAAGGATGATGGGAAATGTATTTTGACACTATTCACATTCAGAATAGGCACAAGTCCCACATGCCACACCCCACATGACCACTCCATGCACATAGGACAGTGCATGCATCCACATGGTTGTGCTGGCATGCCTTTCCAGGTCCTGCCCCCTGCTCAAAGTGTCCAGGGACACTCTTTATGAACTTTGGCTAAGTCCAAACATGCATGGCCAAGTTGTGCTCACCCCAAACCAAGCCAGATGCCAAGTTATGCCAACATGCCAAGTGTTTATGGCTCATTTTGAGCCTCAGGAGTGTAAGGTTTAGCTAGTCTTCAAAGGCCATTGTGGAGCAAGAAGGGCTTTGTCTGAGTGCTATCAAGGCTCAAAGCCTCCATGTGTGACCAACTCTACAGGTTGAGGTGGGGCCTTGAACCTTGGAAGGCCCACAACCCATAGAAGCATGGCTAGGCATGATGGTAGCATGATGGTCGATGAACCATGATGGGCAGAGGTCAAATAGCATCTATCCTCCGCCACCAATCCTCAAATAGCTGCTATTCCCTGCCACGAATCCTCCAATAGCGGCTATTCAAGCACGCATGCAGCCAAATAGCTGCTATTGGGGCTCTGCCTAGGTACTGGAGGGGCTACAATAGCAGCTATTCAAGGACCCATGCAGTCCAATAGCTGCTATTGGGGATCTGCCTAGGTACTGAAGGGGGCTACAATAGCAGCTATTCAAGGACCCATGCAGTCCAATAGCTGCTATTGAGGATCTGCCCAAGTACTGAAGAGGTTTGTTAATAGCGGCTATTCATGGACCCATGCAGCCAAATAGCTGCTATTGATCCCCGGCATGCAATGAATAGCTGCTATTTGGCAGCCAAAAGTACTTTTTGGCCAAATGGCCTTGGCAAGGCGTGGCCTCTTATAGACTTTGTCCATGGACCCTAAACACTCAAATGAAATTCTTGGCCCTCCGTAATTCACCTGTTCATGGAGCCCACCATCAAAAGTCCATGAAATGGCACTCAAAAAGCTGCTATCCTAGCAGCCATGCATATGCTATGAGTCCTATGACCACAACACCCTTAATAGAGGTTGAAAATCTCGAGATACCCACCATGACTATCTACAAATACTTATGAGAAGCTTGTGGATGTGACCACATGTGGTGAAAGCCCATTCTAGCTCTTGAAGGAATGTTCCTAGCACTAGGAGTTGCCATGCATCCATATATTGTGCACAAGGTGACTGAAACAGTGCCGCTCCCCTCCCAACCACTTGGTTGGACTTATTACAATATATGTTGACTTTGGAAACCATCATGGCCATGGGATCTTGCCAATGACATAGTGGAACACTATTCTAGCTCCTATGGGATTCCTAGCACTTGCCAAGTGGAATTACACTTGCACTCAATATGTTGAAGACAACATGGCAGACTGTGTTGAACTCTTGCCACCATGTGTGTTACACTCAAATGCCACTTAGGAGCCTTGAGTTGGGCTTTTTAAGGTGTGACCATCATGCTAGGGGTCCCATGACTATCATAGTAAGTGTTATGGTGTTGGCTATCATCTAAGGGGTTGCATGGCTATCATCTTAGGTGTTCATTGACTATCATCCAAGGTGTTCCATGACTATCATCTCAAGTGTTCATTGACTATCATCTTAGGTGACTATCATGGTATTCCATTGATGACCCTCTTGACTATCATGCCATTGAGTGTGATGATCCCTTGACTATCATGCCATTGGGTTTCATGCCCCCTTGACCTTCATGGCCATCATGGGGGATACACTGAGCATCATGATGGCCAAGAAACCCTGGATCTGGCCATCATCCAGGCCCTACAGGCCAGGTTAGGGCTCCAGGAGTGTGAGGTTTAGCCAAGTTGAAATGGCCACAAGTGGGCAAGGGAGACCTTGTCCTAGTGCTACTCAGGCTCAAAGACTCTACTTGTGACACCAACTTGACATAAAAGTGGGGGCTTGGCCTCTGGAAGGCCCACAATACGTCAAGCATGGCTAGGCATGATGGTAGGATGATGATCAATGACCCATGATGGGCCTTCCATGATGTTTAAGGCAATCATTGGAGGTGTGCCCCCTTGGCCCCACCCTTTGCATCCTTGTGGACCCCAATGAGCTCCAGGCATGCCCCCTACACCATGCCAGTCAAGTGAGAGGCTCTGCATAGCTCCAAAATAGCTTGGCTTCCAATAGTCACTATTCATGGCCATGTTCAATAGTGACTATTGTAGGGTGAGGCATGCAATAGTCACTATTCTGGCACCCAGGATAGTCACTATTCTTGCCAGCCCCCGAAGCATGAGAATTCGCCTAAGTGCTCACGAGGTTGCTTGCTAGGTCAGCATAGTCACTATCCTAGCCTAGCTTGGGAGAAACACAACAAGGTGCTCACCTCCATCTCAACAAGGAGGCTTCACCCCGAGCCGTCGTCGCGCTCCAAGGGCTTGGCAAATCCGGAGGACCTGTGACGGCCAGAATAGTGACTATTCAGGGATGCAGGTAAATAGTCACTATCCTGGGACCATCCTCAGGATAGTGACACCCCAGAATAGTCACTATCCTGAGAAAGAGGTGCTCCTAGCTAAAGCTTCCACAACATGTGGCCTCTTGTAGACTTTGCCTAGGGACCCCAAACATTGAAATGAAACTCTTGGCCCACCTAGATACCATGATTCCATGAGCTGGCAATCAAAAGTTGGCCAAAGTGGTGCAATATGACTCACCTTCTCCTCTTCCTTGTGGCCCTAGGGGGTGCATTGTTCTCCTGGTGTGTCCCCCACCTCAAGCAAGATGGCCTCACACACCATGGCTTGTTGGGGCAAGCATGGCAGCACTCATGAGCTGGTGAAGGTGGGTCCCCATGTGCTAGCCAACACGCCAGCCTATGTACTCCAATCTCTTTTGCTCATCTTTCTTGTCCACCCACACCCACTTTCCCTTCACATGGACTCTCTCCTTGTACTTGTGTCTCCACTTGCCAAAGAGCAAGTATGGGTATCCTTCTTGGGAGACAGCCACTGGCCATGGTAGGTTCCCAGGGTCAACCCCCACACAGTGCTCCATGGGCTGCTTCATTGCTAGATCCTGGATGTCCAGGGGTTGATCCCATCCATGAGGATCAAGGATGCCATTGTAGGCTTTGGCCAATACCTTGCCCACTCCCTTGCTCAAAGGAGGGGTGGCAGTGTCAAAGGTGGCCTTGCTCCACACTCCTGCCACAGCCGCTTGCTGCACAAGGTTCCCAAAGGTGTCATACAAGGTCATTGTTTGGCCATTTCCTACAGATGGTCCTCTGATCAAAGCTACAATGTAGCTAAAGTCCCCCCAAGTGATCAAGGAGTTGGGGTCTAGTAATTGGTGCAAACCAATCCAAGGTAGGTCCATAGGGTGGTGAGCAAAAGTGACTTGGTTGTATTGTAGCTTGGATCACTAAGCTTGTTTGTCTTGCCTATATTAGAAGTGTCGGAGCTTTTTGGGATGTTCCGGAAGCGTAACCGGTGACGAACTGCAGCTGAAAATAGTGACTATCCTGGATGGTGGCTGCGTACAATAGTGACTACCGTATTGTGCATGCTCAGAATAGTGACTATTCTCCCGGGACCAGGATCCGAAATTCGTCTAGGGTTTAGGGTTTAGGGTCCAGAAGATGCATCAATTGTGTGGATGTCTGGAAGAAGATATCTATGGGTGCATGTATGGCAGTCAGCTTGTAAGTGAGTATGTCAGCCTGGCATTCAGTGTTTAGGATTGGTCTCCCGCTGAACTGGTCACACTGACACCCGCAAGCCACTTCACACACGTAGACACCTCTCATCGTCTCCAATACACTGACATCCACCACTCAGCTCACAGAAAGAAATGCAGTTCTGACATCAGACACATGTTGACGTCTACCTGACGTCCAGCTTCCCGATGACGTCAGCTGTGCTGTCGGTGGCTTCTTGACGCGCGATCCTGTCGCAAGCTCCGTGACAGCCCCACCCCGACCCTAGGGGTTGACGACCACCCTATAACGTTAACGTCACACCTGACCTGTCCGGATGCTGTCCTATCTGAATGCACGTCCCTGCGGCACCCGCCCGCTCAGACATCTGCCGGCCGTCAATATTCTAGGTCGCACGACCCTCGTCCCTAATTGAGCCGTGGCAGCGCATGTCTAAAACCGAAAAGGTCGTAATCGGGACGTCTGTGGCTAATTCCCAGCAAAAATCGCGTCCCAGGAAAACAGAGACGGTAGACAGTCTCAAATCTAGCGCGTCTGTGGTGCCAGGCCAGAATCCAACCTTGACGAAATCTGTAAGCATCTGCTTCTCATAATGCCCACAGGAGCTGCATTTGCACTGCCCTTTGAAGAACTGCACACGCCCTGACCAACAAAGAGATCACTGTTGCACAAAGCTCTGCACGAAGCCATGTCAACAGGTAGAGCATCGCGGTAGAGGTGCATTGCAGAGCTTACCGTTCATGACATAGGTCAAGCACTCCGCAGTTGGCTCCGGCTCGCACAAGTCCTTTGACCCACACTGTGAGCATGCAGCAGGTCTGATATTGAAGCATAGCCCTGCAACATTCACAAATATTTCTTCTGAGTATCATGATGGACATCACTGCCGCGGTAAGCCTGCAAGACATCTTAACAACAGGACGCCTTCATGAACACAAAGCCTCACCCCTTTGCTGCTCTCTCCCTGCTTCACCAATCCCGGGCGATGGGCGCAGAGGCAGCAGGCACTCAGAGGGAATGCTCTGCCGCCTGTGCAGGTGAGCGTACGGTGGGCTGCCTCATCACAGGGCCCACACAGCAATCTGCCACAGGGGAATTAACAGTCCAAGCAGACAATCTGTGCCACGAGATTGCTGCAGCTCCCACAGCGGCTTCCAGGCACTGGCACAGCGTGCCTCAGCAACTCACTCTGGAGGAGAGTTGGCCGCAACGCAACAAAGGAGTTGTGCTGGGATTGGCACCTCATTAGCCAATCTGTTGATTCTGTTCTGGCCAGAGGTGAGGCAGGCTCTTGGGCTGAAAAGCTGCCAAGTCCTGCAAGTAGTCCTGATGACTGCTATCAGGTTGTTCATCATCGGGATCGCTCTGTGGATTCCCATTACCTACATCAGTCCGATGCAAATCAGGACAGCAAACATCTTCTAAGTTTCCTTGACGATGGTGGGCAAGAGTCAAGAGGGTCCCATCACGCTGATCAAGGTGCTGATCTTGTGCTGCTACCCAGTGATCCAGCTCGGTAGCAGCTTCGAGCTCATTGAGACTGTGGCCTAAGTCATCAGTGCAATAATCCATCAAATCTAAGAACCTGAGCAAGGATCACAGTACAGAGCTTGACGGCAACTAAAAGACTTTCTGGCAGCACCTGCCTCCACACCTCCTCTTTGCGCCGGAGGACATCCTCGTAAGATGGACGCTGATGGGGTCTCCATTGCATGTGCACTGGCACCTGGTCTCCTTGGCCAGCCAGGTCAAAATCCACAGGATCATCTGCTTCATGATCACTAGATCCAGGGCTGATGTCCTCAGGTCTGTAGGGAGCAGCAGCATCCCTCTGGGTCCGCTGTCTCACTCTTCTCTGAGGACCAGACTACGCTGCACTGCGTGCTGCTTCACCCTCTGTCAGGGGCCGAGGTCTGGCCACCAACCTGATGGCTCCACTTGTTTGATATAAGTTCTGCATGTAGCCCGGAAACAGCACGATCTGCTAAAAAATAAAATTAAATATCATGAATGGAATGATTGTGTACGACCTAAGTCATCTATGCTTGACGTACTTAGCTTCGAGCACTGGCATGGGGGTTCCTAAAGAAGAGCTCAAGCGGCTGTAAAGCAGGGAACAGCTTCGAGGGCTATCTCTGCCAAAATTCACAGTACAGTTGATTGATGTGGTGTTCATTCTCTCGTTCAGGCAGCAAAAGTCATCCTGAGGGTTACAAGGGTTTTCGGAGAATCTACAAGGTTACGTGGATAACGGATATACAAGGGTTTGTAGATACTTACGACCGCCTTAGCTGAACACACGCATCTTGTTCTCGATACCTCTCCGACCTCGGATACGTAAGATTTTGCGAGTCCCTATTTTCCTCCCAGACTTCGTATCAAAAGCGGAGTTCGACTCCTGCTCGGAATGGTAGCGTACATCCAATCGGTTGACGATTGACGCGAACGCTTATGAGGCCAATAGCGGTACGTGTAATTCTTTTTCTTCACAAATCGTCATCCCACACATACATTTTTTTCACTACTCGAGTTCTCGTGACTGAACAGAGTAGTGAAAGAATCAAGTCAAGAACGTAGTCTGTCATTCAGTGTCAACAAAATTCCTCTGTTTGGGTATGGGTGATCGTAAGAGCTATTTTATTTACAAATTTGCAGGACGCGTACGACCAATATGTTGACTCTTCGGTTCGCGTCACTTGTGACGGCTTTGGGTTTATTGTCCACAACATTCGGAATATATGATGGGAGCCAGGACCGCTGCATTGTCTTCCAGTCGTATACCGGGGGATTCATGGCAAACGTGCACAACGTTATTCTTGCTGTGGCATTTGTGGCCCGCCCGGGGAATATCCTGTATTTTGATGACTCAGAACATTCGTATCACTGCCCATCGGATACTGGAGTTGAAAATCACAGTTGGGATGTATTTTTTAACGGATCCCAACCTACAAGATTCCCCACCAGTGAACATGTTTTGAAAAACTGCAGCAAGGTTAATACAATGGAGCTCCTTCAAATGCGAGAAGAGCTCGCAGTCCAGGCGGGATGCTCGAGTGCAGATGACCTGAGCTTTAGGGAAGGTGAACCTAGTGTGAGGCTTCTGTATGCAAAGCTGGCAGATGCCACAGAAAAAGTTTGGAAGTTTTCAAGCAAGATGCAGTACATTGTTGACTATGAAGTCGAGAGTATTCGACTCATGGCGGGCAAACAGCTGACTATCGGAATACAAGCTCGTGGTGGTGACAAGATGTCTGAACAAGGAGATTGGGCCAACAAGATCACAAGTAAGGGCCATTCAAGAGCCTTTGATCAAGTCAAAAAGCATCTTCCTCCTGATGTCCATGGCAAGGTTGTTTGCATCATTGTTGGTGATGACTATAATCTGGCAAATAGCTTGGCGAGGTTGGCAACCGCTACTTTTGATTGCTTGATCATTAACAGGGTTATGCCCTCGCCGAGAAGCATATCTCATGATCAAGGCATTTATAATAGTAGTCCTCTTCAAGAGCGTTGTCATGGTACTTTCAGGATTCTTGCAGATGTTGAGATGCTTGCGAACACCAATTTCTTTGTTGGTTACAGGAATTCTAATGTTGCAACTATGGTGTCTCTTATCAGGCGATTTATTTACAAGAAGAATAAAGGGTCGGAATTTGACTTTTCTGAATCCTCATTGAAGCCATATTGATGACTGAAACTTATTGCTCGAGTGCCTTCAATAATCAACATACTGTGTGTAAAAATTGACAAAAATTTCGACCAAGTTATTCCAGACTTTCCTCCAATGACAACAAGTTCAGCAAAGTGTAATAAAAAGCCGCAAGATTTAGATTCACCTATAGGGCTAGCTAACCGAGTAATCTTTACTAATGATTAGACCAATCCATCCCACCGAAAATAATGGCCTATGTGACACGAAGTGAGGATTCAGTTTCTACTAGAAAGTGCACGGAAGGACCGCAATTTTGACGTCTTGGTCCAAAACAATTTCAAGAAGACGAAGATGTTTGGTCACATTGCAAGAATTTGTCACTGACATGTAGCCTAAAGATTTGTTCTTCATATCTATGGGAAGGACAGGCAAGAAGATTCTGAAAGGCAGGCCTCGACTTCTGAATCTTGAAATGATTCAGTCTGTGTATGGAAAGAATGGAACTCTATGGGTCTGACATGTCACACGTGGCCCTCCGGGAGAAAGTGTCAAGATAGGGAAGGGTAGAAAGGAAGGTTAGCGAAGTTGCTGCAACTTGCACCATTGAACGCACCTAGCCCTGTGGGGCTGTAACAATAGCACTACCATAGTCATGATAACATTAATTGCCACATGAGTATGCATGTAGGTGCGCCAATGCGCTGGCCCCTCTTGCAAAACACAATTGTATCTACCTTTTGAGACATTTGAGCCCTGCTGGTTCCCGTATAGAGGGGTCACCGTGAGGCTGCGTCATCGACCGTGGGCGGAACCAAGCCACATTTGAATTTTACATTGATTTATTACATCCCGTTGTGGACATCAATTGCGCACCTCTATCTATTAGAGCACACAGTATGGTGTGCTGCTTACCGCGCAGCGCTTGCGGCCCAAGTTTCGGGTTCGCATCTTTGGCCTTCCCTACAAATATGTGACAACTTGACCCTTGAAGGTGGAGGGAGCTGGTCAAGCTATGAGTGCAACACCATATGAGGGAGCTGCGGCGTGAGCGACTCGCATTCGGAATGCACACATCAGTTACCGCCTGCGAAAGGGTTTGGCCAAGGAGATTTAGAACACCATTCGTTGTGCGCGCGCACGGCTGGTACAACCCATCCAATCGACACAATCGTGTGTCAAGAGCGCGCAGGGCAGACGGTCGCACCGTCTGCAATCAGTGCTCCGATCACGAGAGTGTTCGCACTTTTGTTGGGCACCACACTGCAAGGAGCTCAGCAAGCAGGAGTAATACACTCTCTCTTGAAGATGCTGCTCACCTCGATATCGATCACACCATATGAGGGTGCATTGTTGACTTTCTCCTAGTCCAGCAGGCTAGCATTGGCTCTCTAACAGATTATCTCGCCGGTGCAGCATCATGCCGGGTGATCCGGATTTGTGCGCACTGTCTCCAAACACACAATCCAGGTTAGCCTACTTGTGATGATTGCGCTGAGCACTAGGTGAATGTTGGAACATCTGTAGGCCCCGCCTCTCCATCCGCTGCCTCAGACTGCTGTTCCAGGTAAGCACTGACGTGTGCTGGACGTTTCTGCAATTCTGGCATCTTGGTTCTCAGGGTCACAGCAATGTGCATTGCGGTGGGGTCAATGTCTAAAATGCGCGGCTTGCGGCGGACTCTAGCTGTATGCAAACACCAGTCATTTGCATGTGCCCAACTATTGCAACGTGCATTGAATGCCCGACGCTCATGAGCAGTACACAAATAATCAAACTCACTATGAATAAAGGGGTAGTCTCGGGATTCCGAAACCTCACGAAACCCCCTCCGAAACCGGTTCGGCAGGTACTTTCGGGGATCTGCGAAACTGCGCCAAAACTCCCGAAAGCAGGCAATTCGTAGAAGTTTCGTGAAGGTTCGGAGCATTATATTCGGCAGATTTCCGACACTTTCGCAGGTAATTCTCAATATCCTGGACTGGTTCGGTTTTCATCGCAGAGCAACACCATCGCAGGACTTTGTGCGGTTGTTTCTTCATATGTCAGCGTAATTGTGGCAAGAAAGCAAGCCGTATACATCTTTTAGACATGTTATGAGTCGGTGCATATGCACATCCGGGAAAGGAGGCCTAAGAAAACCCCTAAACTAGAGCAGAAGTTGAAAGCTTTTCCGTGGCAGTGGGCGAGCGCGCTTGTGTGCCCTTTTTGATTTTGCCTGCTATATATAATGATTGATATCGGCGTGTCCATAAAGCACCTGCGCTTTCACAGAGCGGTGCAGGTCCGCGATTCAAATGGAGAACCATGTCTAAAAGGTTTGTAGCACGCCGCGGAGCGGCACCTTTGCATCCCTGCGCCTACAGGACAACCACAATAGAGTGCAACGTTATTATTGGCGGTGAAGGAGGTGCTTCTTGTTGTCATAGGCCGTGTAGGCCAGTCCTTTTCCCATCTAATTATGTACATCAGTCAATAACTGCCTTGGCTCGCATGTATGCTCGTGGGCTGCTTGTACACCTTGAAGTCACTCAAAATTGCACGTTGAACATCCGCTTCAAGCAGCACAAAGGCATAGCTGCTTGTGGTATTATCGTGCGAAGGGTGCTCAACGGTTTTTAAACAACGCACTCTCGCAGATTGTGCAGGCGTCCCTTGTAGCCTGGCTGCAGGAATCTTCAAGTGCTTAAGAAGCGCTCCCCTTGCAAGTCCTACTGAGGTAATTTTCTGGGCCGCGGAGCACACGTCGGGAGGACAGACAACTTGTCTTCTAATCACCATCGTCCCCAGCGAGACATATGCCTTACAACTTTGCTGGAGGGCGTAAACAACGTGTTTCCCAGTGTGAAATTGCTGGAGCTCTGAACTTTCGGAACGAAGCCCGAAATTGGGTTCGGCATTCTGCCATGGGTTCGGCAGACTTCGGGCACATGCTGTGCCGAAAGTTCTTCGGGCAGCACCGAAACATGCCGAAATAGCCTGAGACGGTAGTCTCAGGCTATTTCCCCCTTTACTCATAGTGTCCTGACGTCACCAGACTCTGCAGCCGCTTATTGTGTACATTTTTTACATTACCCCAAAAAAGATCGGGGGTGGGTTCGACCCTTAAATCCCTTCAACCTAGAGTCTCGGACAATCTGCAAGGAAGAATGATTGCCTAGCGTATCTGCAAGGTCTTGAAGTAAATATTAATCAAAAGTGAAACAGAAAACTCCGAAATTAAATTCGTTGCGAGTACGCAAGCGCTTTGAGTGAAATTAATTGCGATGGAATTTTCAAAGCGAGCTCTTTCCGATGCCACATCGAGCGCTCAAAAACGCACCGTGTGCACGGATTTACGTTGTCGGGCTGCATTGCACTGCAGCCATCCGATGCGGGAAATCGAAATCCTCATAACATGGCGAGTGCGTAATTGTTTTGCGCGGACTTGGTTGCGATACAATTGTCTCGTAAATACCATTCCATCGCGACATCGATCACTGTAAATGATGGTCTTCCGAAGGATCTGCACGTATCGGGCTGCCGCAGATCATCATGTTGAGCACTGCGCGGACACCTCGAGGCACTTTGTAGCTTCCTCAGTTTTCCAGTACTTTAATTTCATTCAATTTTGTATGAGGATGTATTATTATCTTAGATAACATCCCTATTGTAGCAAGAATAGGTCGGTCTAGCACCAAGCTCTTTAATTAGGTACTTTGTCGGTACCATCCATCATGGACAAAGATAGATGGGCAAGCAACTTAGGCCACCAAGTAGGGAAGGTGGCCATGAATGGCCACTTGTGGTGTTTTACACTTTTTGGCGGCCTGCTTCTCTTACCTTTTTGTGATATCACACACAGTCAACACTTTTGAAGACTCATGTAAGTTTTACGTAAGGACGGACTTGAGGCGTAATCAAAGCAGACCAATGGCAATTACCGGTGGTTCTCTTACAGGATTTACTTCAACAGAAATCTGGCAGTCACCCTGCCGTCGGCCGACGGTCAGCCGTGCTTGCCTGCTGCCCCGCCACTTTCAAAAACTTCTACACGCCACCATTTTCGAACTATTTTGTTACATCAATTGATTGGTTGAGAACTCGCAAACTTTGCAAGTTAATATAGTTGCGAGTCATAACTTGAAATTATGAAGTATCTAAGTTTCGCTGCGCTGCGCAAGGCCAAATTTCGTTCAAAGAAATTGGTCGGATTTTTGGAGACCCACTGAAAGCCAATAAAAATGTCAAAGTTCCAAGAAACCAAAACCTAAAATTCGACCCTTTGCAGGTACGCCAGGCGGCGATTTGTCCTAGCAAATTGTCCGAGAGTAGAGAGACCGGGAATTTTAGGCTGAAGCTCATTCCCAATATTGTGACTCCGTAGTATTCTTTTTTTTACTCCGTAAAAAGTGAACACAACTAATCCAATAAGAAGTTCTCTTTGCTACTCTTGTCCTCTACTGTGCTTTTGTCTCGTGGTGACTATATTTTACAGGGTTTGACACTCCTTCAGGATTCCCTAAAGGGATGGGCACTGCGGTTCATGAATTGGGGGCAGCCTTCAGGGAAGCCCCAAGAAAAAAGGGAAGAAGACGTCATGGCTTCAGGGCAAAGCCCTGGCGCCAAAATGCCCTATCTTCAGGGCATCCCCTGAAATTCTGGCATGTGCTGTACAAATCTCAGGGACGTTGGACTATTTGCAAATGCCATTGGAAGTAGGTGGGAGGATTTTGTAATGATGTGAAACGATGACCTGAACAATTCTCCCCCCATGGGAACACCAACATTCAGCACTAAATTAAACAATGAATAAGCTATCCAGATGAGGCGTGTAGGCAAGAGAGGTTTCAAGTCCCTGCCAAGCAGAGCCTATATAGGCTTTTGCTTGATAGGCAGCACGTGCATCTGATACATCCCTCCCCCTCAATGAGAAGGGAGCTTGTATCCCAGAATAACACCAAACCATGAGCTTGCCTTGTCTTGTCTTGTGTGCCCGCTTGTCTTGTCTGTAGCTCGTGCTAGTGGCTAGTGCTATTAGTAGTCGTGTATGTCTTTACCGCAGTGCAGCTAGGAACTTGTGCAAACTGATCTACTAGTAGTACTCAGATGCGGGCTCGCATGAACCCCTTGTGACCGGTCTAGTGGCTAGTCTTGTCTGGCTTGGCCGGCGGCTTCAACAGGGCGTCCCCCAGAAGCTTCTGATCTCCAGAACTCGTTTATTGAAACTTGCAAGTTACTTACACAATTGTGTGAGATTCTGCTCAGGCTCAGAAATATTTTCTGTGGAAGGATAACCTTCCCACTTGATCAAGTAGTACATGACTTTCTTGTTCTTCTTTGTGCCTAGCTTCTATCTCAGCTGGTAATCGAGAAATTTCTCAACCCTAAAATTTCTCTCAGGATGGTCTAGTCACGAGCCACGGTGGCTCAAACACAGTCTGATCAGTAGGAGGTCTCGTGGGGTCTACCTTGTATTTCTTCAATAAGGTAACATGGAAGACAAGGAATATCTTTGAGGTAGGTGGCAGCTTCAGCTTGTATGCAATCTTCCCGACTCGTTGAATTATCTTGTAGTACCCATGAATCTGGGCATCAACTTAGAGACACTCTTGCCTCTTATCTTGGTGTTCTTAATGCTAAGGAGCACCGAATCCCAAGCTCGTATGCAATATCACGTCTGTGCTTGTCAGCGTAAAGCTTGTACCTGTCTTGTACTTTCCCTAGGGCATCCCTGGCTTGTTTAGTGCTAGTTGCATGTCAAACTTCATTTTGACAGCAAAGGGATTGCCGGCAGAAGCGGCTTCCCTAGGAGTGAGTGATATAAGTACTCTTGGGGTGGTACCCATAGTTCAAGTAGAAAGGGGTGGTCTGCAAATTCTCATCAGGTGCTCAAATGCTTGTCCCAGTCATCTTAATCTGGTCCAATACAATTCTCTGGATGTCCTCAAGTACCTTATTCATCCTCTCAGACCATGGAAGCTAGTGTGAAGTGGCACATTTTAGAAAATCGGTCCACGACAACCAATTGGCATCAAAGCCTGCTCGTGTTTTAGGCAGTTGGACAATTAAGTCAATGCTAATATCTGTCCACTTGTGTGCTGGTATATCAAGAGGTTGCAGAGGCCTGCAGCTCTCTGAGTACTACTCTCTCTCTCTCTCTCTCTCTCTGTCACACTTGTCACAAGAGTACACATGTTCTTTAATTTCCTTGCGGATGCGAGGCCACCAGAAATGTCTCTTGACAGCATGGTAGGTCTTTTCTGCTTCCACATGTCCAGCAACAGGGACATCATGGAACTCGTACAGAATAGTGTTCTTACTCTGCTTGTCATTGGGATAACCGTTATCCCATATTTTAGGGTTTACACCTAGTGTTTTGGGGTTGGGGTGTCCAAAAATGGACCCCCGTTTTAAGGGCGATCTTGGGCAATTTCGATGTGCTGATCACGCCTACGAAGTCATAATTTGAAAATTCGACCTCCTTGGCTCTCTATAAGGCCTCAAACATGGTTTCAGGCTAGGGTTTGCATAGGGTTGGCTATAGCTCCTCAAAAGGGGGGCCTATGGCATAGTGGAAAGACTTGCAATGGGACATATACATATAGGGCTTTCATTTGATGCATGTCTCACCAAAAGTTGCAATGCCGTTTTGGAGCTATCACCCCTTGAAAAAAGTGATCATTTCCCTTCTAGTCTTGTGGAGCCCCTAGCTTCTCCAAAGGGGGGCCTATGACATAGTGCAAAGGCCTCCAATGGGACCCACTCATATAGAGCTTTCACATGATGCATGTCCCAGAAAAAGTTGCAATGCCATTTTGGAGGTAGCACACCTTTTAAGAAATCCATAAAGACCCTGGCAGCCTTCTAGAGGCTCTAGCTCCTCAAAAGGGGGGCCTATGGCATAGTGGAAAGACTTGCAATGGGACATATACATATAGGGCTTTCATTTGATGCATGTCTCACCAAAAGTTGCAATGCCGTTTTGGAGCTATCACACCTTGAAAAAAGTGATCATTTCCCTTCAAGGGTTCAAGAAGTTCTAGTCTTGTGGAGCTCCTAGCTCCTCCAAAGGGGGGCCTATGATACAGTGCAAAGGCCTCCAATGGGACCCACTCATATAGAGCTTTCACATGATGCATGTCCCAGAAAAAGTTGCAATGCCATTTTGGAGGTAGCACACCTTTTAAGAAATCCATAAAGACCATGGCAGCCTTTCAAAGGCTTCAGCTCCTAAAATATTTAGGAGTGTAAGGTTTGGCCAAGTTGATGTGGGCACTGGGAGCCATACATCATGTTCCCCATTGGTGGCAAGGCTGGAGGTGACCAAGAGTACCCATACCTTGGATGTGGGTGGGGGCAAGGCTCAAGGAAGGTGCTGGGGAAGGTGGTGGGATGGTTGGCATGATGGGTGCATGATGGTCCATGAGCTCAGGTGAGCCTCCCATGTGCACCTGCAGCCCTGCCGGGGGAAGCGGCGCCGCTGCCGGGGCATCCAATGCACCCATGAGAGCTCCATGGGCCTCCATGGGTGCCACCTACACAAGGGCAACCCTCACCAACACCTCACAGAGACGTCCAACCAGTGTGAGCATGCCCTTCCCCTACCCGGCAAGGATAGCTGCTATTCAGGCGCTGCATCCAGGAAAGCCGCTATCCTGGCCTGCGACTGCAGGCGGTACATCCTGAATAGCAGCTATCCTGGGCCGCGCACCTCAACCCGAAAACGCCTAAGTGCCCAGGCTGCTGGGGCAGGCACAATAGCGGCTATTCATACCACCGACAGGCGGCCAGATAGCTGCTATTTGACCAGGTGGTTAATACAGAAAAGCAGCTATCCTGGATCGCGTACATCAAGCTGAAAACGCCCAAGTGCTGAGGATGCGGGTGCAACCATAATAGCAGCTATTCACACAAGAAACAGGAGGCCAGATAGCTGCTATTTGGCCAGGCGGTGAAAGCAAGAAAGCGGCTATCCTGAATCACGCACAGCACATCAACCTGAAAACGCCTAAGTGCTGAGGATGCTGGCGCAGGCATAAATAGCAGCTATTCACACCACCGAGAGGAGGCCTGGATAGCTGCTATTGATGCCGCCCTGGCAGCCCGAAATCCACCAAGTCCGATGAGGGGCCTCCCCTTGTGCGACTTCCCACGAGGTGCCTCGCGAGGCCGGAGCCGTTTCAAGAGCAGTCAGAGGACCCACCTCGACTTCGCCGACGGTCGGCGTCACGGCTCCTCCTCTGAGCTGGGCGTCCGGGCCCGCTTCCAGCCCCGGTTCCTGCAAAAGCAGCTATTCAGCTCGTGCGGTTCCCAGGCGGGGGGCAGAATAGCAGCTATCTGGTCGCGTCTGGTCAAATAAAATCACGCGGCGACTTCGTGCGACACTCAGAACAGGAGTAAACTGATGCGAGGCGTGGACTGAAACTATATTTAGGGTTTAGGGTTTTAGGGTTAGGGTTATTTATATTTTATTTTTTATTTTTTTTAGGAGTGTAAGGTTTAGCTAGTATTCAAAGGCCATTGTGGAGCAAGAAGGGCTTTGTCTGAGTGCTATCAAGGCTCAAAGCCTCCATGTGTGACCAACACTATAGGTTGAGGTGGGGCCTTGAACCTTGGAAGGCCCACAACCCATAGAAGCATGGCTAGGCATGATGGTAGCATGACGGTCGATGAACCATGATGGGCATCCCATGATGGGCAGAGGTCAAATAGCAGCTATCCTCCGCCACCAATCCTCAAATAGCTGCTATTCCCTGCCACGAATCCTTCAAATAGCGGCTATTCAAGCACGCATGCAGCCGAATAGCTGCTATTGGGGATCCTGCAGAGGCATGTGAATTTGGCTAAGTGCTGAAGAGGTTTGTTAATAGCGGCTATTCAAGCACGAATGCAGCCGAATAGCTGCTATTGGGAATCTGCCTAGGTACAGAAGGGGGCTACAATAGCAGCTATTCAAGGCCCCATGCAGTCCAATAGCTGCTATTGGTGATCTGCCTAGGTACAGAAAGGGGCTACAATAGCAGCTATTCAAGGCCCCATGCAGTCCAATAGCTGCTATTGGTGATCTGCCTAAGTACTGAAGGGGGCTATAATAGCAGCTATTCAAGGACCCATGCAGTGCAATAGCTGCTATTGAGGATCTGCCCAAGTACTGAACAGGTTCGTTAATAGCGGCTATTCGTGGACCCATGCAGCCAAATAGCTGCTATTGATCCCCAGCACGCAATGAATAGCCGCTATTTGGCAGCCAAAAGTACTTTTTGGCCAAATGGCCTTGGCAAGGCGTGGCCTCTTGTAGACTTTGTCCATGGACCCTAAACACTCAAATGAAACTCTTGGCACTCTGGGATTCACCTGTTCCTGGAGCCCACCATCAAAAGTTTTTTATATTTAGGGTGTAGGGTTTAGGTTTTAGGGTTCAGGGTTTAGGGTTTAGGGTTTAGGGTTCAGGGTTTAGGGTTCAGGGTTCAGGGTTTAGGGTTTAGGGTTAGGGTTTAGGGTTCGGGGTTTAGGGTTTAGGGTTCAGGGTTTAAGGTTTAGGGTTTAGGGTTTAGGGTTTAGGGTTTAGGTTTAGGGTTTAGGGTTTAGGGTTTAGGGTTCAGGGTTCAGGGTTTAGGGTTTAGGGTTTAGGGTTTAGGGTTTAGGGTTTAGGGTTTAGGGTTTAGGGTTTAGGGTTTAGGGTTTAGGGTTTAGGGTTTAGGGTTTAGGGTTTAGGGTTTAGGGTTTAGGGTTTAGGGTTTAGGGTTTAGGGTTTAGGGTTTAGGG